CTCCCAGGCTGCGAAACAAAATGAGATGATGGAAATCACAAAAGACTCACAGACTGAGAAACAAAAACAGGTGATGGAAACAAAGAAAGACTCCCAGACAGAGAAACAAAAGGAGGTGATGGAAATTAGGAAAGAGGCAGAACTGAAGGAAACGCAGGATGAGAAACAGAGAGAGAAAATTCTTAAAGAATGTTGCAATAGGCATTGGAACAGCTTTAAGGGTAGGTTTGATAATTGTGGGGGGAATTTATTTTTGGAAAGCTTATGCAAAATAGACCTGAATGGAGCCACCATCTGGATTATATACTGGGTTATATCTGAACCACAAAAAAGGCATTTTTAAACCAACGTAACCCCACACCAGGGGAGACAGTCTTGTTTCCAACCTACCATGATCCAGGCATCTAGCACCAGCAGGGCGAGTCCAGGTACTCCCATGGACCCGGCTGGGCCCGTGGAACCGTACCCTGGAGCTCCACGGCCGAGATCCAGGAGCTATGTACTTTGAGCTTGGTCTTGGGCTCGCCCTGTTCCTGCGGTGCCAGGGAGCTGGCACCAGGCAGGGCGGTTCCAGGTACTCCCAGGGACCCGGGTGGGCCCTTGGAACCGTACCCTGGTGCCCCACGGCCAAGCCATTGCCGCCTTAATTCACCAAGCTCATTCTCGTTCATCAAGCAATGTGTCAAACCCTTCATGGAAGGGTTGTCTTGAATGTAGACAGCCACTCTCTCCAGAGGAGCTGAATGGTCCCAGTAATCTCATTCTAAAGTCTGTTCAGAAGGACGCTTTTCCTTAAGAGTACACTTCTCTCCAAGCCAAACAAACTGTTCACAGCTCAAGCTCCATCGTAGCTCTTAACCCCAATATGGATGAAAGCCTCATAAAAGTTGGAGGTCGCCCCAAACATGCTTCATTGGATGCAGTATCCAAGAATCCAGTCATTCTCCCAAGCAAACATCAGGTGTCAAAGTTGCTTGTCTCGCACTATCATGACATGGTTGTGCATCAAGGAAGGCAGGCAGGGTGTCTATGAAGGTCCCCTGGGTCGGGCCACTGCCGTTGATTCTTTCTCCAAGGGCCCCCCTGGCTGAGCTTAGGTACATGTGTACTTTGCAAAAAAATAAATGTAGATCTATCCTCAAATATAGTTTCAGTCAGGCAGAAACTACCCAAGAGAGTTGCATGAACGGCATGGACTGTTTTTTGTTAAGTGGGACTTGTCACATAAACCACTTAGCCCATTTATGCCTCCACCTTAACAACAATCTAGGCTAGAGGACAGAAAAAAGAAAACCGTCATTTCAGCAGGAAACATAGCCCTCGGTACATGTTGGCTCATACAGCGTGGAATCAACTCCAGTCTGACACTGCTTTTAAATTGTTATTCTATTGTTTTACACTTCAGCATATGTGACATAGTTAATGTTGTACAGAATTCCACTTGTCATTACTTCCAAATTTGGGTTGTGTAATGGGTGAAACAGCACCCCCTCCTGGTGGATGGCAGTGTTAAATGTAGTGAACAGACATCTCTCACCTCTGTTGAAAGGTTGGTTGCTGCATGTCACAAAACTTGGATCATTTCTCACTTTTGCTTCCTCTTGGACAAACTTCACAAAGTATGAGAAGGGAGGGAAAGTCACTTGATATTTTTGTTTGTATTTTGAACCTGCTTGAAGCCATTCATCTTGAAAACTTGGAGGTAGCCTTTCCGCTATGGGCTCAACACCTCATGGTGTCAAGGTAAGCGAGGCCTGGGAGATGAGTTTCATTTTTAGCAACCTGCAGCTCTAGGAGCAAATCTCCTAGTTCCCTGAGTTTTACATTGTCTCTATTTGTAAGTCGAGGGAAGCTGTCTAGTTTTTTAAACAAAGCATTTTCTCCTACTTGTGGTGCAGCATAAACATTCTTCTAACCTGTCCCATTTACTGGAGGGCAGCTTTGGGGTTAGTGGTATGAACAGCTCTGATTCTCTTGACATGCTCTGAGGACTCTTTACCGAGCCATTTCACGAGGAGATCCAACTCTTGACTGTATGTGAGGTCAATGTCCTCAGTTGCATTCAAAAATGATGACTGCCATGCTCTGAATTTTTCAGGGGTGTCGTCAAATTTAAAGAGCCCTGTTGTGATTAACTCTCTACGTGCAAGGAACTTATCGAAGTCAGTCACAGGTTGGTAATTGTGGTGTGGATCATGGTAACTGTTTGGCCTGACAGTCTCTTGGTGTGTCAAAATGTTCATCTTTTACATACATTTTCTTGAGCACCAGCAGACAGTGAGTTTGGACAAATCTTCTTGGGCTGAATGATGATACTTTTAATGCTATTTAACCTTAGGCATTTCTTCTTTAGACGAATGTGACTTTAGCTGGGCTTGGTGTTGCACATACTCCATGGTTCGTTGTCTGACGACTTGGGGTAGGACTGCACTCTTTACACTCTCTTCTTTGTCTTGTTTGGCAGCTGTAGCAGCTTCTAGGATCTCTGCTCTCGCCGTGGCAGCTGCAGCGTCCTTTTCTATTTCCAGCATTTTAAAATCCAGCTTTAGATTTGCTTGTTGCTTTTTAATTTCAATTTGTTTTTTACTGTACGAGGCTTTAGCATTTGTGGCTTTGGCAGAGGCTCGTGCGAAGATGGCTGCTTCAAATACGCTGGACTTCGAGGACGACTTGTGGGATGAATGCTTAGAGCTAGAGTGTTTGGATCGTGAGCTAGCTTTAGATGTGACTTCTTTCCCCACATAGAGCACACTGCGGAGGCTAGTTGGTTGGATTTCTGTAATGAATGGCCAACAATAAACAGCACAGTGAGCCTCCCTACTGGTCCACTAGTTCTGGGTACACAGTAGAGTGCTGAACAGACTGTGTCCTGCAAATAATCACTACAATCGGGTCCAGCAATACATTTATCTAACAGGTGATCGTACAGTGAATTTTGATTGATAGTACATCTTTCAGATAAAATCTGGTCTTTCTCTTATAAATAAAAAAAAATCAGAAAAATAAACATAGACAGCAGTCAAATTGATCTAATAAACTAACAGTAATCTCGAACAGGCCACGTCATGTCATTATAGAAACAGGGAACAAACAAACCAACAGATTGGCAAATACAGCAAACAAAAACAGCAAATAAACAAACTGGACAAACTTAACTGAAAAACACTGACAAACATACATTTCTGACATTTAACATAATTACCTGTAATGACTGTTTAATAACAAATAGCACAGTGAGCCTCCCTACTGATCCACTAGTTCTGGGTACTGTAATAAAACTCCACGTTAGTCCTAGAGCACAAAAAACACTACTGTTCAGAAAAGAACTGGACTTGATGACTTACCACAGTCGAGTGCTGAAAAAGACTGTGTGGAATCTGCAGTTTCTCCTTTTATAGGCAGCCAGTAGGGGGCGCTAAAAAAAAACCACTCATTAAAGGACAACTATGACAACATTTTAGCAGAATTTAACCTGAACCATTTATGTTACACTTTAGCTTTGGAGTTAGCCGTTTCTTCTGCCTTTTCCATCTTCCACCAACTGCTGATATGGCTTTTCACTGTACTGTGTCCAACACCTGTTGGACACACTGTGTGTTGTAACAAGTCATTATATTGCTAAGTGGGTGTCACCACAAGGGGGCGCTTATTCCCTTTTTGTATTGAAGTGCTCTTGTACAGAGTAAGAACTCCTCTCTCTCTCATTATCCCATTTTGTTGTCGAGATGTCGGTGATGGCGAGGTGCGGGGCGGTTGCCTGTCTTTATTGTTCTCGTGTATGAGATCATAATGTTAGCAGGTGGAGAAATAAATCGAAAAGTGTGGATTACTTCAACAGTGTGTCCTGGTGTTTCAGGTTAGAGTGGCTAGCCACCACTGCTAACTCCGCCAACCTCGCACCACATCGTCACAGAGCGTTAACGCAGATTAACAGCAAGCCAAACTCAATTTTCATGAGCCAGGAAGCTGAGCGTCTTACTCCTTTATTACGTATTCTTACAATGTTGCACAATTGTTACCCTAAACATAAACAACAAATAAAATATACTATAGCTATAAATGCACAGAATAACATTCACATACCAGAAAACACATTAGAATTGACATTAGCTGCGGTTAAGAAACGGTTAGCAGTCATTGCTATGTGAACTATCGGGACATGGCTAATTACTGGAATAAATTTGGAAAACGATCTCTAAATAAACTCTAATAAAACATATAACACCAAACAGAACACGGATTAAACTTACAGCCATTGCCTTCGGAGTTGTTAGAAAATATTGACGACACAGGAGGTGAAGTTTGTACATTAATAGGTTTTCTCTCCGCAAACGTGCGTTTCTAACTGTAATTGACTCTGCTACCCACAATGCACTGCTACCTCAAAATTCATCTTCAAAATAAAATACAGATAAACCAACAATGTAGAAATTTCCTTTTTAAAACTAAATTATTAAGACAAATTTAACTGGGCAGAACATCAGCTTAGGTAGTAATAATTCATTCACCTGGTAGATTTTATCTCCAAGTTTTAGCTTCAAAAAACAAATCCCCAAACGCTGGACATTTACAAAATGTGACAAGTTGCCTTGAGCAAACCTAAAAGGAAACATTTTCACTCTTTGAATGAAGTCTTGTGTAATGTTTGAGGCATGTAATACACCTCTTTGACTGATTATGTTAAGATGCCTTCATAAATCTGTCCTGACACTACTTGAGCCTTCTGGTGGTGAGAATCTGATTCTAGAAATGCTCGTTCTTTTTTGTTCACCTGTTTGAACATTTGACTAAACTACATCACAAAATGAAATAATCTGCATGCTATGTTCGTGATCTGTTTGCATACATTTTTAGTTAAATGACCTTCATTAGCAACATTTAGTTGAAACGGGGCTGATTGAGCCGTTTGGTTTGAGGCGAAGCCAAGTGGCTGCTCCAGTGTGGATGGTGATCCTGCTGCCTCACGGTAATCTGTTCCTAAAGAAATCACTGAGTCAATCCAAATATAATTTTTTATTTTCATGATGTAAGGTTTGATCTTTGTGAAAGTTTCTAACATAAAAAAGCAAATATTCCAAAAGTAAGAGCATTAATTTTAACTTCAGATATACAAGTAAAAAAAATGAAGTCATCATTTTGCTTGGTTTTCAGGACCCTGCAGGACTTATGAGGAACATGCGGTGGAATTTTCAGCTCTTGAGGCGATTTCCATTTGAAGTGACTCCACCGTCTGCAGCAGATCGGCCACCTCCACTATTTTCTCCTTCTTTCTCTGGATCAGCAGCTGGATCTTTGCTCCACGTCTGCCAGAGATGAATGTACAGGAAACATCAGCTCAGATCAGTCAAAAACATCTTGCAGAAACCACATTCAAACATTCAGAACCCAAAGAGAAAACATCAGGGTCATTCGGACTGCAGGGAGCAGCTTCCTTTCCTCGGCCTCCTCATTCACATGCAGGAATTAGGATGTGGGCCAGAACGAAAACGTTTTGAGGAAGAACCGTCTCACTGTCCTGGTCAGAGTGAATTTCAGTCGTTTTCCTAAATTACAAACTGCTTCAGTCTGATTACAACTATTATTGTTGTATCTTCGTTCTGTTTCCTCTGCTGACAAATCATCAACATTCAGCAAACAAAAACTGGTCGGAAAAAAAAAAAAGAAAAGAAAAATCCTTGATAACTGAGAACAAAAAGATCAAAGTGAGTTGGAAAATATATTCAATCTCATGATTTTTCAAATAAAAGTAAATCCACATTTTACATCCGGGACCTGATCTCCAGAGGTCAGGGTTCACCTGGCCAGGTCACCAGTCCATCACAGGTCAGGCAACCATGTTCAGTGTGATTTGGAGAGACCAGTCATGTTTTTGGACTGTGGAGTTTGACACATTTACAGGGAAATCATGCAAGCTCCTTGCAGAAAGACAAGGCAGGATTTGAAACATAACCTTATAAATGTTTTTATTTGTCCATCGGATGGTGCAGTTTTTCCTCTTTTCCATTAGTTGCTAAATAAGTGTCACTTTGTCACATTTAATGTAGAATAATATTGTGTATTCTTTAACCACCTGATGCAAATGTCATGTTACATTTTTGTTCATAAACTTTCTCTGAGGAAACTTATCAGAGCCAAAACACTGACGCATTTTCCCAGGACAAATAACCGTCACTGGAGCAAACATTGAGACTCACGCTCCTTTCAGTGTTCAGAATTTCTTTTCTTTTCTTTTCTTTTCTTTTCTTCTACTTTTCCTGTAAAACTGTCGTGTTGCCCAACCTGTTCAGTGTCTCATTGGTATCATTAATAATCCTACAACAACTCTTTTTCTGACGGTGATAACCTTCTATCTGTTGGAGTCTGTCCTCCATTTGTCTCTGCATATCTTCGGTCTCCTTCAGGATTTTCTGCAGTCGATCTGCGGCTTCGTCTTCAAGTGTTTTATTCAAGTGCTTCTGCTTTAAAAGCTCAAACTGCTCCTCAACTTCTTGCAGCTCCTGTTGGGAGAGAAACTGTCTCAGAAACCTGGTCAAACCCAGCAGCTGCTGCTGTTGCTAACAGTTTTCAGATTTTACCGTGTCATTAGAAATGTTGGTCAATGCTGACTCAGCAGTTTCTCTGGCCTCTTTTGCCATCTCTCTGTTCTGCTCTGTTTTATTTTTCAGAGCCTCAATCTCCTCCAGCAGATCTACAGGCTGGTTCATCAGCTGATCCTCTTTGCGGCTCAGTTTGTTTTCCACCTGAAACACGGCAGAGAAACCATCAGAACCAGTCAGGCTGAGATGATCTCTGTGAAACAATTGGAAAGTTTGAGTCTCACCTCTTGGATTCGGTCTTTGGCGTCGTCTCTGTCCTTATTTGCAACCTCCAGGTCATCGTTGGCGTTGCTCTGAGCTGCGTCTGCAGCAATAAGGTCACTGAGGATGTCTTTGACGTTGATGGTTTTAGTTTGCTCCCTGTTAAAATAATAATAATAAATAAATAAAAATAGTTTCTGAACAGAGCTGTGTGTGAAATAACTTTGTTTTCAGACACCAACTTGACTTCTGTCGCTTTCTGCAGAAGCTCCTGAGCTGCTTTGGCTTCATCCTGCAGCTTCTTCAGGTCCTCCTGGAATTTGGTGGCACCGTTCAAAAGATTATTGATCTCATTGATCATCGATTGGATCTCAGCAGGTGATCGCGGTAGCTGGATCCTCAGGACAGCGTTGGCCATTTTCTCAATGTCATCTGGAGAAACCATGTCATCTGCCAGGAAGGAAACAGACAGAGATGTTTCCCACAGTAAGATGCGTCACTCTGGTCCATTTTTAGAGGACGGTAGACGCAGAGCTGATCATTTAATGGTTGGATTATTTGGCGTTGAAGGTCTCCTAAAAGAACTGACTGTGAACCCTGACCCATCAGATATTGTTTGACTCTTTGGAGGAGCTCTCTGGTTTGGTTTTTCTCTCTCTCCACTGATTGGATGGTGTCGCTGATCTGGCGCTGCAGGACTTGGGCCTGGTCTCTGGTGTCCTGAGCCACTTGCTGGACGTCACTGATCTGAAACGGTCAAAATAACAGAAACACTTCTTAAAACAGGACAACCCTCAGAGAAGACTCACCAACCAGTCTACAGCAACTGTTTACCTGCAACAGATTTTTCAAAGTGTTGCTTTTGACTGGACTTGGTAAAGTTCTGGTTTGGCACTCAAACGGTTTCTATCAACTCTGGGGACCTTAAAACTGTTTTTGTCTTGGCAGAAAGTCTTTGCAGCTCCAGAGGAAGTAGCCATTTTAACGAGGACGGGGCTGTTTGACTCACGGAGACTAACAAGCAATTAAAATGCCGCAGAGTAAATCTGATCTCAAACTGCGAGGCTTCAGGGTAAGTCAATAAAAACATGAACCATAGGCAGTTTTAAAGGGTTCCAAACCCAACACAACAAGTTCTTCCATCCAGGATAACATTCCAGTTTCCCACAAATCAGAGACGGAGTTAGACGGGTCGCAGCTGCAGGGCTGACATCCCGACGCTCCGTCCAGGTTCCAGAACCCGTCCTCACATTCATCACAGAGATCTCCCACCACACCCGTCCTGCAGGGACACTGTCCTGTCTCCCTGTTGCAGAAGCAGGGGCTCTCCGGGGGGCATAGAGTCGCCTTGGTCCCCCGGCGGTCACAGGAGCATTCTGGGAAACATCAAGGTACAAATACCAGCAAACACGCGACACATCTGTGACCGTACCAACAAGTCGTGACCATGTGACACGATCCTCACTGGCTGCTTTACCTCTACAGGTGTGCTGCAGGGCGTTGCCATAGAAACCAGGCTGGCAGAACTGGCACTGTGGGCCCGTTGTGTAGTGGAGGCAGCGGAGACATTCTCCGGTTGTGCTGTCGCAGGCGTCGCTGTCGTCCGGGTCGATGTTGTTGTTGCAGGAGCACGCCCTGCAGACGGCACCTGGCGACCTCAGGTCGCCGTAGAAACCCGAACCGCACCTGTCACATCGTTCACCTGAGAGGTCGAAGGTCAGAGGATCGATCAGGTGAACTTTAATAACTGATTTACTTTTTCGTCGTGGGGTCTGGGAGTTTTTATTAGAATATGACTTTATATTTGATGATAATCTACAACGTCTTAAAGAGTTCAACTCAAGCACCAGGGAACAACACAGGGGTCAAGGAGGGGTCAGGGAGGGGTCAAGGAGGGGTCAGGGGTGGGAAAGTGACCTGCAGTCACTTCGGTGAAAAAAATCTCTGCTCCTATGTTTATTTCTGGTTCCCTGGATTCAAACAGGAAACTACTAGGAAGCTTTGGCTGCACAGCTGCAGACCAGGTGATCCGCAGAACCGGCTCCTACCTGCGTGTCCCTCCCTGCAGGAGCAGCTCACGCTGACGGACTGCGGGTCGTATCGACAGGAAGAGGCAAAGAACCGTCCGCTGCTCAGGATATCGGGGCACAGGCAGGGCTGACAGGGTTGTCTGGAGACCGGGTTACGATAGTAACCCTCCACACACCTACAGCAGCCACACACAGGTGGGTCAGAACCACAAGACGCCATCAGGAAGCGAGGTGATCAAATATCTCACATTGCTGACGAAGCGAGTTTCATAAGGAAAGGCAGAATATTGTGTCATCGGATCCAGAACCTTCAGTCCAACCTGTCACAGTGCGGCCCGCTGCTGTGCTCCCTGCAGTTCACACACGCTCCGGTCCGCCCATCGCAGGTTTCCGACAGGCCGTTGCAATCGCAAGGCTGACACAGCGGGAATCCCCAGAATCCAGACTCGCATCGATCGCAGCGTCGACCCGATACCTGAGGGCGACACGCACACTGACCTCCGCTCGGATCACACGCCTCCGACAGAGAGCCTTGAGGGTCGCACTCGCATCCTGCAACAACATGAAGGATTGGCTGTAAGAGGAAGCGTTACTGTAGCAGGACTCCGACTGATTCTGAACTTTCTTCTTACGTTTACAGCCTTCGGGTCCAAACCCAAAGGTCAGAGGTGCACAAGCGTCGCAGCAACGTCCGATCACGCTGGGCTTACAGTCACATAACCCGGCCAGCGGACTGCATCCCGATCCAAGAGAACCAAAGACGTTACACCTGCAGGCTGAAACCAGAAAGCACACAACATCAAACCAGGTTCACATGAAACTGTGTGACAGACGTCAGCTGCCTCCAGAGACACATTAATGCTCAAACTTGACCATATAAAACTTTGGACACACCCAGTTCGTAAATTAGGCAGATCAAGTTTATATTTATTGTCTGTAACAAACCTTATGTTATCATCTATTGGTAAATAAATTCAAGCAGCATGAGAAGTAGTTTCTACAAAGAACCAGCAGATTATGAAGATGAAGATAATCTACAGACCACAAGGTTGAGTTCTGGATTTGAGATTATAAAGCTTTTTATCTGAACTCTATTCAGATAATACCTGAATGAAGAAAATGCACCTGGGCTTTGACACAACCAGAACCTGGATCCACAACTTCCAGCAGGTGGCAGTAAAACCTATAAATTATTTGTGTAAATTGTTAAAAGGTGGACCTTGGTCCAGTTTGATTGGATGTTTTGTTCAATTAAAAAACAAATTGAAAATGAATATTGCCGTAACTCATTTTTAAAGCGTTATTGTCGAGGCTGATGGACAGGAAGGATCTCCTGCCGAGGTCTGATTAATGTTTATGTTATGAGAGTGTTTCTAATTGGCTGGGGATTTGCAGTAAAGGCTCACCCACAGCTCCTTTGTGGATGCGCGCCGACAGACTCTTGATCAGCCCTTCGCAGATTCTTGGAAGTGACTCCTGAGAGCCGAGATACACGTCCAACCCGACGCAGCGAAAGTGACTGAAAGAGTCAAAGTCACTCTGGGAGCAGGAGTCTTGGCCTGAATAGAAACTCTGAACCAGACCCATCTAAAATATAATAATAACAATAATAGTAAATGTTGACAGAAAAAACAGCACTGAGCTTCATTTTAATCGAACAGTCTTGTTTTCTTTTTTGCACTTGAGGTTAAGATGATCTGGGTAATAATAAAACAAAGTGATGCAACACAAAATGACAGTATAAGGTTCTTTGGTCTCATTAGGCCTGATTCACAGGATTCTTCTATTTAAAACACTCAGACTTTTCAGGAACCAAAGTTAATAACCTTAAAGTCATAGGAAATAAAACAAAAATCTTTTGCCTTTTGCTCTTCTTGCTTTAGCTTACAATTACTGAAAAACATTGATTGCTTTTCATATTTCTACACCACTTTATTTACCGAGACACTTTATGCTCAGATTTAACTGTTCCTAAAGCAGCTCTTTAAATACTTCCCTCCAGTTGTGCAGAAATGAGTTTTCAGATCATGACGTTCTCACCGAGTCGACCAGCAGAAGAGCCTCGTCTGACCTCTGCTGCCTGTCAAAGAAAATCTCCACATGGTATCGACCTCTGGCGTTCAGACACACGCGGGAATCCAGAATACCTAATCTGGAAAAACAAACAAGCATGTCACATAAAAATATCAGCAGTTAAAATGTCATGGCAAACGGTTGACATCACAATCATAAAAGCTCTCGTGTGTTAGAAAGTATGCCACCTAGTGGACACTGAGGAAATGAGATAACAGGCTGAGAAGCAATGCAGCGTTTAAATCACTTTTATTTGTGTGCTGCAATCAATAATAAAGTTTCTGCCATGTTCACCCTACAGCCATCTACTTCCAAGCGTCAGGAGAGTCTACTGAATATTTGTTTATAAAGACAAATCTGAGATGGGACTTTGTGTTCGTTTGGATCAGGAACTCTCCTATTTTGGACCAGTTTCTTCTGAATCATGAACTATAACTTCAACTGATGTTGTTTTGGGATCATTTATAACTTTCTCGATGCACCATTGATGATGTTAATGATTCTCATGTATTTCTATGAAATTTGCTTTGCCTGCTCTGTGTTGCCAGACAAGTTTTACTGAACTGGTTTCTACTGGTCTGTTTTCATTTTGCTACATTTTAAAGTAATGCTCTGCAGAAAGTGGTCAGCAGAAGAGTAATGTGAACTCCCAAGGTAAATTACCTGTCGCTCACGAAGGCCGACTCACCTGGAGCTTCTGGGGAGGATCAGTGTCAGACTTCCTGTTGGAGGGTCGTCACTGCAGCCTCCATCTCCTGGTGACAGAGTGATGATGTTCACTCTCGCCACCCAATCGGCGACAGACTGCAGAGGAAGATGGCTGATGTTTAATCCATGGAGAAAAACTTCCTGGATTAAACTCCAACACATTGCTACATTTATCGTTTCAAAATGTGAGCAATACATTTTTTTGATGTTATAGTGTTGACATCTAAATGGAAAAACTCAAGATCAATGTCTTGTTCAGATGCTCACATTGCTCAAGGTTATGTCTGTTTTTTTTTGGCATATATTGAAATAAGAATAAAAAAATAAAATCTGTAAAGCTGACTATTTTTCAGAGTTCATAAACAAGACCCTGCAGTTCTCCTCACCTCAGATTCATAGCGGATCACCAGGTGGTACTCCATCGAAGTTGGCAGGTTGTCCACAGTGAATCTAAGCCCCGCCCCCTCTGTCACCCTGACCAATCCCAGACCAGTTCCTGATTGTTCAGGTGAGCCCTGGTGGGCAAGGATCTGCAGGGGACCCTGGATCAAAGGGGTGTTATTCTGCTGCAGGACCAACACAAATAAGGGAAATCAATGAAAGAATCACATTCAGTTCTGTTTCAGAGACAAACAGGAAATGAACCAAAGCTGTACCCGTCTCCTCCGGCGGGTGAGATGACGAGGCCTCCGTATCAAAAACTTTTCCATCAGAGAGCTGGAAGTCATAGCCCTGACTTCTGTAATACTGCTCACATGAAGGCAAAAGGCCAGGATTCACCTAAAAACACAAAGAGTGAGAAATATAACTTAATGTTTGGTTTGGGATTTTTAGCATCTGGATCTGAATCTGGTTTGAATTCAGATGCTAAAAATCAGTCCCTGGTTCTGATGGTTTAACTGGACCAGATAGTTTTCCATTCAGTGATGATACACACCAGTGGAGAGGAAGAGGGGAAAGCAGGAAGAGGAGCAGGAGGAGAAGGGGAGGAACTTCCTCCTGTCAGCTGCGCAGCGAGTTCCGCCTCATACAGGAAGTAGATGAGCGAAGGCAGGAAGTGACCAGGTGCAGGGTCAGAGCAGCGCCGGCCCACCATGTTGGGTAAACAGGAACACTGTCCATCCTCTGGAGAACACCTGAGAACATTCACAAACCTTACATTTTATTTTCTTTGAGAGTTAATTCCTTCAGAGCGAGTCACATCTTGTTAAAGTGTGTTTCCTAATGACTTGTAGGTATTCAGATGACAACCAGTGACTGGATTATGTTTTATTAAAGCATTAAATCACTTCAACATAGAGAGGCAAATGTAGAAAAAGAAAACTCCTACATGTTGCTGCTAGATCCGCCAACATCACAGTCACAGGGTGAACATTTGAACACAGAGTTTCCCAAACCCCAGAAACCTGCCTGGAAACAAAACCATTAACTCCCAAAATGTGACATAAACCATGGATCTGTTTCTGCAGATCTGTTTCTGCAGATCTGTTTCTGCAAATCTTCAACCTACCACACATTGATCACACAGCGGCCCGGTGGCCATTGGCTCACATTTACATCTCCCTGTAAGCGGATTGCATGGTCCAACACTTCCCAAACCGTGGCACCTGCAGGCTGAAAACAGCATGAAGTCAGACTAAAGCTGACCAGAAATAACACAAAGAGCAAGATGTTGTCTCATCTGGTCTGTCCGTTTTCTTAAATGGTTAAAAAATAGTTGCAAATCAACTAAATGAGCATCTATGCTGCACCTGATCTCATCATATCACTGAAACCCTGACAATATTCCCACATGCTAAGATAAATTATATCACTCTATTCCAGCCATACTGACCACTCAAAGCACCTTACATGATACACAGATTAGTAGGCAACCTAAAGTTGCCCGAGGACATCAACATGTTTCTGCATATTACAAACAATGTGCGGTTTAGAACCACAATCCTGGACAGATTAAAGAAATTTTATTGACAATTTAAAGAACCAGCTCCCGGCAGAGGCGGTCCTAGCCTGCTTGGCGTCCTGGGCGACCACTTTTCCAATGAGGGGTTAGAGGTGGGTTGGGGGGTAATGGCGCTTTGCATTCGGTGCTATTGACATTATTTTCTTATAATTAGACCAGCTTAAATTATCATCAGCTATCTCTGTAATTCTGCTGCTAAAAACCCAGGCAGCTGGAGGACAAAATGACCACTTTTCTTGACTCTGCTACTTTCTCCTACCACTCTCCAGTCATGCATCATAATACAGTTATTGCTACTTTTAACTTGGTCTTGAAAGTCACACCTGGCAGGGGTTTTTTAAGCTGTTACCTTCCTACAATTGGCTCATCTGCAGAGATGTTGCTGCCAACAAATTGATCTTCCCTTTCGACAGACTTTGCCTCATCTTTCTCTGTTTAATCCAGTGTCTAACCACTGAAGGAGCTATTACTGCCACCGATCAACAGTATTTTGTTTATCAGTTCATGGAGTTTACAAATGGCTGCATTTTTCTCCTAGATGAGGCCACTAAAGGAACTACTGCTGTCATTGACATTATTATTCTTAATTAATAAAATATGAGTAAAGAGAGCTGAATGAATGTAAAAACAGGTGCCTGGTACCTTCACATCCAGCCGGGTTGTCCGATCTCAAATTGAAGAAGCCATGTTTGCAGCGATCGCAGCGTTGACCCTCCACGTTTTCCTTACAGAAACACCGACCGCTGGAAGCATCACACAAACCGCCGCTGTGGGAGCCGGCGGGGTCGCAGTCACACGCTGCAACAAGAACGTCACTCCATGATGCTCGGACTCAGCAAACGTCCTGACATGATGCTGCTGGAAGCTACAGAAACATCAGTGATCTCTGACCTGTGAGACATCTGAGAATCAGGTTCAAACCACAGAGAAAAACCGAGTTTGACTCAGTTATGAAGCACCAGTTTCAATCACAGAGGTGCTAGAACTAAAATGCTACGATCTTGAGACATTAGGGTATATTTGGAAGAAGGTTACATTAATGCAAAAGTAAAAATCTGACAATATTGAACATTGGTTATCATCTCAAATCAAGATCAGAGCTGTCCAAGTCCATGCATCCCTTCTCTGATATACCTGGTAATGAAGGTCATATTACCAGGCGTCTGCAGAGTTCAATGGCTGAATGCTGATGAGGGAGTTCAGCTATTTTGTTCAGGCTGAACTCCCTCATCATTATTATTCTTAATAAAATTGTTCAGCCATTTTGTTCAGGTGTGTTGGAAAATGGATGCATTTAAAAGCAGGAGAGCAGCTTTCAAGGACTGAACTTGGACACCCTGTTTTAGTTGCCTCTTATCTTTAGTATTCTTTATTCAAATGGATGAGTCATTGATTTGATCCCGAAGAGAGGAAGCAGGGGAATGTATCAACTTTGCACCGATCCATAGAGGTCCATTTATATAGAAGAACCAAAAAGCACAAGCCTTAATCATTACCAATGTTTTAAAAAGCTGGAACTGCAGCTTTTATTTGCTCCAAAGTGAAACATCAGAACCATCACTCCCACCAGCATCACCTGGTTTGATGCTGCACTGTTAAAACAGCGACTATGAATAAATTGCACACGATGAAGCATACGTATGCAGGCGTGGGGGTCCTCTAGCGCCCTCTGCGGGTCCTGATACAGGAAAGGTCGACAGCGCTCGCACTGAGGCCCCGTCCTGTCATGGCGGCAGTCGTCACACACGCCACCACTTGTACCTCCAGTCTCTTCGAAGCGAGCAGCATCAAAGTGACACGAGTCTGAGTGACCGTGACAGTTACACCCTTAAAGAGACACAAGCAATGTCACAGACATGCAGGTGAAACCTGAAACAAGTCAAAATGTCTCAATGGCTCAAGCATCATAAATGTGAAGGTTTAGAAGCACAAACAATCTATATGTCTGTATTTAATTAGAAATAAAATGATTCTTGATTCATTTGTGCGGAAACAAGAGGAAATTAATCAAATTTACTCCTGCAGATGTTGGGTGCAGTTTCTCCTCCAGGCTTCCAGGGGGCGTCATTGTGAAACGGCTGACATCTCTCACAGTTCTCCCCAGCTGTGTTGTGCTGACAGACACATCGACCGTGAACCTGGAGGAAGAAAAGCCCTCGTTACCTGCAGAACCCGTGGGAAAACCCAGAAACAGACATCAGATCTGTTTTCCTTCTAAACTCCTAATTTAAGTGGGACTGTAAGAGTCAAGCCAGCGACCCAGACCTGATGAATTCACCTCTGAAAAGGAAGTGTTGCTTTTCTCCAAAGCCAATTATTTGACTGTGATTTCCCTCCAAACCCAAAGAATTTACTGCTCTTTTAGCAAAGAAAGTCATATTGTTCTTACAGTGAAATTAACTTTCACTTCCACAAAACTTAGGAATGGCTGCAATCCAACTGAAACAACACAACACTTTTACTAAACACCAATCTGGATTTCTTTGTTGAGGGATTAGCAGAAAAGTGATCCTTGTCTCTTGTTCTTGGCTTTTATCATCTGCTTTTCCAAGCATTTTAATTATTGTGTTTATAGTGATTGTACTCATGTTTGAGCCGCTTGCAGGGTATTAGAAATTGCTCCCTATGGGGACAGATAAAGTCTTTTCTGAATTGAATTTAGCTGCATTGCTTTGCTTGCATGTCAGGAGATGTCTGAATTTATGAATTAGATGATTTGCTCTGACATGTTTTTAAGACCTCAGACGGGTTAATAGTCTGAAATCCATTTAACTTGATATGGAAAACCCTGTTCTTTGTTTGAGCTGAGAAAAAAAATGAAACTCATACTGGTACTGAATTGACACGAATACAAATTTGTCTGATTGGTGGTAAATTTAATGTCAAAGCAGCTGTGGAGTTTCAGTGTGCACCATGCCAGACTGGGTGAAGACGTCCCCACGTCCCCCGTCCACAGGGACACAGCGGCTGGCATGTCCGTTGCAGAAGCAGCTTCCCTGAACCACCATGCTGTAAAGCGAGTAGTAATATTTCTCCTGAGGATTTCTGCGTCTGCGAGCCAGCAGCGTGTCGCCCAGCGTGAAGAGACGAGTGAAGTTCACCCGGATATTCGTCAAGGTGATCAGCTCTGAGGATAATTAAGACATGCATAAACGAATGTATAAGAAGTTATATTTAATAAATTACAATATGTGTTCAGGTGAGGACAAACTTTTCCATAGTCTCACCTTGAATGTCTGGAGCATATGGGTCATCGATTTCAAAGACAGGATCCAGAGCTTTTAGCACCACCTGGTGGACAAACATACCAGATTTATCTAAACTAAAATCCCTTCCTCAATTATTTACATACACTGTATAAAAAACACACAGATTGTATTCTCTGATGTTAAATCAGTCATATTTTTCATGTATTCTGTCATGTGTTCAGATGTGGTACCGACCTCCCCACCTGTGGATGGTTCTGGTCCAGAGTATCTGCTGTCACAGACAACATCGTCAAGGAAGCTGGCAGGTTCTGCAGGAACTGAAGGGAAATGAAGGGAACAATCGTCTGCAAAGTAGCGAAAAACTTTCCAGCTTCGTCCAAAATCCTTCGAACGCTCCACCAGCATGGCTCCAGGCCTGAAGCTCTGCAGGAAGACAGACAGGAGACATTCGTGTCCAATCAAACAGCTCAGACACAGGGGCTCATGCAGCGGCTGAACCCTGTTCATCTCTAAGTCCGACATCTCTGATGTTCTTCAGAGAAACATCGCGCTGTCAGACCAGAGGATAAAGTTTAGGATAACCTAGCCTGTCCTTGTTCATGCCCTGTTCTTTGAAAGAATCAACCTCCAGATTTCAAACTGGAATCTGGAGGCTGGAGTTGTTGGCCCATTAACTTAATTAACAAGAGTTACAATTATTTAAGTTGGTGAGTCAGTGATGGATTGTAATATGATAGTCAATGGGGAGTAGGAAACCCAACCTACAGGAACTGTTTGTTCAGTTCATCAGGCACATTTTGAAAATCATCTGACTTAAAAAGAACATTTTAAATGAGTGTCTTTAGCCGTTTACCTTGAAGGTGAGGACGATGTGGCTGAACTGGAAGACCGTCTCCAGGTCCAACTGGATGCTGACCTGATGAACTCCTGCAAACAACCAACAGCCGAGCTTTTATGTTTTATTCTGTCATTAATAACGATGTGCTGTGATTGGACGGCTTCCAGCTCACCGTTCTCAGACTGCCACCACTTCAGTCGTCTGTCGGAGTCAAACGTCGTGATGACGTTCTCGATACGATGGCTCTGTGGGTTGCCTTGGGGACTAAACGACAGTCGGGAGTCACATGTGAAGCATTTTTTCTCCCCCTGATGAGAAAAAAATTTAAATTAGTCATTGAACCTAATCAATTATCAGCGGTTCACTAAAAAGTGCTGAAAGCTTCGGGTTTGTATCTAATGAGCCCACTCTTTTCAGAGCAACATGAAGACGGGCGTCTGACTTGTGGACGGGCCTGGAGGCTGGAGTTGTTGGCCCATATCTTTTTTACAGCTCTAAGAATTTCCCACTTAAGCCATGACAGAAGAGGAGAAAGGAAAATGCATTAATGGCGAGAGGAGTTGGAAACGTTCCTCAGGGTGAAGAGTGTCAGAACGTAAAGTGACAAATCAAGACTTGTTTCGGTATGAAAGTCAGAGAACGAGGGGAGAAAAAAATGAGATCAGCAACAGCTTATTGAAATCCACCAAACCTGTACAGTCCCACAAATCGTCAGACATTATTACCTAGGCATTAACAAGTGTGAGCACAGGTTAACCCATGGAAATGGCTTGAGCTTTAGCCAATGAAAACCTCTTTATCGGCTGACAGCGTGTATGAGGGCTGTCTCTAACCTCCAGGTGTCCAACGATGCAGTAGTTCTGGGGTCCGTCCACACCGCAGGTGGACGAGGCTGAGAGCTGCGCGCTCGACCCATCAGGTCACCAAGCTGGGGTGGCAGGAGCGGCAGGGCACTGGAGGTCCTGGGGGGGGTTTACCGCCGGAGAGAACAGACAGATGAATCCATTGTTTCAAGACAGAGCCTGCTGTCTTGTTTGTTTGGAAGAGAACGTCTTCCAAAAGACTCTAGGAGTGTTCCGACTCCAAATGTCTCCAGTACCAGCCTGAACAAATTCTGTCTCATTTTGCTTTGGTGCTGTTGCGGTTCTCTAAATGTTCTGGAGCATCTTGTTCTGGATTTCTTTCCTTCTGGGTAATTTTCTCTACCTTTATTGGAGGAACTCAGCAGGGGGGAGAAGTTCAGAGTGAAGTCAATGGCTTCAAGCAGACAACCTTCCCAAACTCCCACAGTTCAACTGATTCCACTGGAGTTTAACTTGAGCTTAGTTCCTCCTCCATGCAGAGACATTGAGAACATTTCTTCAGTCTGGGATGTGATGAGTCAAACTCACCAAAAATAAAGACGAGGATCATGTTGACACATCTGGTGGATTCTAGTTTCTGGTGGACGGCAGATGATTCCTAATCTGTTGGTGGGGAAAAAGTAGCTTTATCTCAACGTGTAGATGATTGTAAACTGCATGCAACTTCACAATGGATTAAACAATTACACAAAATGAAACAAAATCCCTCTGGGAAGGAATATAAAAGCATGAACGGCACCAGAACCCCAACAACTACAGTAACTAAAGTCATAATTTTATCATTTAATGTCTCCCACAGCAACGTGGGCTGAATAAAATCTCACTGAACAAACAAGACACAAAACCTTTAGGCCAATCGCAAAAAATCAGTGAATGAATCACCATAATAAATTAAAGCAAGCTTGATCATTTCCACTTGAATGATTTATCGAGTTTTTCTTTTGTCGCTCTCTTTCTATCAAAAATGGGAAAACAAAGTCTTGAGTGTTTTTTGTAGCGCATTTTGTTTACAGAGATTTCATAATTAATGAATTTGTTGCTTTTGTCTATTTTTTTATTTGTTGGATGTTTATTAGAATTCAAAGTTACTCGTCTTTGAGAAAGTATTCTCACATTATTGTCATTTTCATTACATCACTTGAAAATGGTCTCAAAATTTTTGTTCAGCGCAGTAACTTCTAGACCAATTTATGTTCCAGTAAAATTTGTTATTGTGACAAGCAAACTGTACAGCTTGGAAAGGTTTAGTCAACATACGAATTAAGCATTTAATTTGCAATTTTTAACTCCAATTTCACATTTAAGTAAAATGTTGAGAAAGTTTAAATATTTTATTTGAAGTCTAGAAATGCTTACAGTGATATTTGCACAGATGACATTCTAATGTATAAACTGGTCACAAACCACAGGAAACAGGTTGAGGCTCTTTGAGTCTCTCTTTAAAGCCTGTTTGACAGGAAACATTTTCATTTCCATAATTACAACATCGTCAATAATCACAGCATTTAAACCGCCAAATGTTTATTGTTGTATGCCTTATTAAACGTTTAAATGCACTCGGTTTTTTAATCAACCAAAAGTTAACAACACAATAAAAACCAGAGGCTCACCTTGAGTTTTAACTGGTTCACTGTATCTGCATCATTTTTAAGGTGTAAAATTTTGCATGTCAAACTGCTGAGGACTTGGTGAACGTTTATGTGAGGTGTAAATGTAAATGTGTTTGATTTCTATAATTTCTACCTTCGGACAACTATTATCTAAATTTCAGAATAGAAACTTTGAGGCAGTGCAGCTTATTGCAATTCAAATAAACCCACACAGGTTAGAACCAGTGGAACAGACAAGTAAAATAAACTAAAAGTACTGAGCAGGGGGGTGTGCTGTGTTGGCGCAGGGGTTTAGCACAACCCACGTATGGAGGCTTTGGTCCTCGACGCGGACGTTGCAGGTTCGATTTCCGGCCTGGTGATCTTTGCTGCATGTCTTCCCCTTCTCTCATGACCCACTTTCCTGTCAATTAACTACCAAATAAAAGCCACTAGAGTCAATAAAAATCTTAAAAACAAAAAGTAAATAAAAGTACAGAGCAATACGTAACCCTGAACTGAAGCTTTGTAGAAACAGTACAGCATCTGAACCCAGCCAAGAGAAAAGTGCAACAACCAAACCAGTTAAAACCCACAGACCACAACACGATGTGGTTCAGCCACTGCTAATAATGAAACGTGTTTATTCTCCGACTGAAGCTGATTCCAACTCGGTTCTTGTGGTTTGAAACTTTCTGAGAGCTGGAACCCAGCTGCAGGACTCTGGATGGTAGAAACGTGTTTATCCAGCAGTGAACCGTGCGCCCTGAAGGGATTGATGAACTTTAACTGGAATGTTTGTGTCTCTCCAAAAACTGACTGAACTGTACTGCATTTCCAGCTCAAATGCTGCAGCAACACACACACACACACACACACACCCACACACACACACACACACACAACAGATTCACTGGAAATGGAGGACAACGCACCAGTAGAACCAGCATCTCCTCTGCCATAAATCTGATGTTCTTGTTGACTCCATCAGCAGCTCAGAACTAAAATCTCAATTCTTCAATCATCACACAGCAGATTTAAGGTCTGGCCTTTATATTAAAAATTAGGAAAAGTTAATAAAAATCTACAACAACCTGATTGTTCAGCACATTTGAGCACCAGGTTTTTAAATAGAACATTTTTATTTAAATTGATTTATTTAATATCAAGAAGATTCAGTGTTAGATTTGTTTAATTACAAATTAAAAGTAATCTGTTAACAGTAGTGGACTTGTGACCTGTCCAAGGTGTGAACACCCCAGCAACCTTTTCAGGACAGGTGGATTTAGACGATGGATGGGTGAATGAATGTCATTAGTTAAAATTTCAGATTTTCCAGCTGCAAACTTTCACGCATGATCAACGTTAAGAAAAGAAAGAAGCTAAAAACATGGCTTAGGGACAGTAAGAAATAAAGGAGTTGAGGGAACATGTCTCTGCAGATAATTGGGATTTTACTCTGACAGACAGCTCAGGTCTAATTTTACGCTTTAGATATTAGCCCGAGGAATCCTCTGAACTAAACGTAAATGAAACGTTTTTTTCTTTCAGCTCTGAGGAATCTGCAGATGGATTTAATGAGGAATGTGCGGTTATTTTATAAAAGTTGTGGAGCAGAAAGTGGGTCTTAGGTACAATAATAAGCACATGCGATTTCATAAGTAACAACGCTGCATTTAGGTTCATTTTTGAGGTTTCTGCTACGATGCAAAGTGTTGGCTGCAGTGCAGAGGAATAAATCACTTTGATAGTCATGAAACAGAACGAGAAGATCTGCTGGAGATCAGAGTCGTGTGGCTGCTTTAAAACAAGATGGAACATCAGAGATAAGGTCCCGTTTCTTTTCATGCCACTAGTGTTTCAGCTCTCAGACGTTGTCGGGTCATGTCTGTGTTTTTATACGCCGTTTTCAAGGAGTGGGGGTGAAAACCAAACAGTTGAAGATTTCAAAAGCTGCACGAAGAAATTATCCTGCCACTTTTCCAGGGGTTGGAGAGAAAATGATGAATTCAGAAGAAACTTCACTGAGATTTGCACCGTCTGTGTGCTACAGGTGGTGCAGAGTGGAAAAAAGGACAGAATTGATATAAAGTCATTAAACTGTGAAATATATTTAGATGTTTCACTGCAGCTGTTGGATGCAAATGTAAAAATTACACACAAATGCTAAAAAAATTTGCCAGGTTAATTTGAAAAATGGGACAAGATGCATTTAAACCAATGCATCTCCCACGATTTTACAATAACGACACGAGAAACCATTTCAAATGTTTTTACCCAGTTAAAAGAGGACAACTAAAAACTGTAAAATGAGATGCAGCACCACGGCGAGCATTTCATTTAACTTCATTCTTAATGTTTTCAGATTTCAGCGATTCAAACGTCACTGCGACTTCAATCCCTGACATGTTCATCTTCTGTTGAAAAACATTACATTGTAAAATATTTTTATCTTCCATCCTGGCGTCTTGAAACCAAAACGAAGCTCAACGCAAACAATGATTTATCTTCAGTGTGTCTGACAGCGTGTTGAACCCCAGTCCGCGCGCGTCATGTTTTTACATGCACAAGTTCTTCAGGATTGTGGACCTTTTGTCATTTGGTTTATTTATGGAGAAGTCAGCGTGGCAATGGATGAGTTAAATGTACCCTACAGTGACCTTTACGCAGCTTTTTTCATTTACATTTCAAAATAAAACATCACTTCTACCCAAACACACAAACTCGTGAAATTTCTTTGGCTGGTTTTCAGAAGAACATCGTTTATTTTTTTCCGCTGACACAAAGAAGCTGCACAGAATAAAACCTGCAAAATTGATTCAATGCAAACTCTGTTACTTCAGTAGAAGTCATTTAAGAAATAAGAAATTATCCAAATGAATTTTTTTTAAAACTGACTGTTCAAGAGAAAAGGCTGATCCAGGGATTAACTGCACCCATCTGACAGAATTAGTCCAGTTTTCTTTTCCTTTAGTCTGAATTATAACAACAGGAACTTCAGTTCCATCAAAGACACTTGGTGTGCTACAGGGAGAGAAAGTGGGCCTACCTGCTCGAGCTGCCATCCAAACGAATGAGCACACCTGGGCAGGTAACAGCACAACTGAGACACTTGCTGCCCGGGGCTGAAGCTGTCAGAGATGGAGAGAAAAATCACTGGGAGGAACATCCAGAATAAAACCTACTAAAATATCCAACCTCTTTGATGACGTTTCTCTTACAAGAGTAAGATTGTACAGAGTGGTGGTTTGGGGAGGGGTTTCAGGAACAGCACTTTAGGTCCAATGGATCCCTCAGGTTACCTATTGTCAGCCCTGGTTCTCCACCCAAAATTACAGTAATAGATATCTTTAACACACGTGTGTGTTTGAGCCAGGTTGTTCAGAGAAAAGACGCAGTGACACGTTATGTTTCAGATTTAGATGCTCTAAATCTGAAGAACCAGATCTGATATCACAGGAGAAATTCATCCTGAAAGGCAGATCTCCGGATGGCGTACAGGAACAAGTTCTCTTTGGAGACCAAAAAGAAACTCTCTTGGACACAAGAAGGAGGCTCCAGAGCCCATTTTATACTCCCAACTTTGTAAGGGACTCCACTTCTGGAAAATGTAAAGATTTGGGATGCCATGAAGGATTTACCCTAGGGGTAAATAGGTTGAAAAGCAGGTCTCTTGAAGGAAAGAAGAATTTCCTGAATGTCATAATAAAGCCCACTGTGGAGGTCATGGTGTTAAGAAGCCCCCTCTGTAGGTCATAAAAGAGTTTCTACTGGATAACGGACAGGAGATTTCTACGCAGGTTTTTGGAGGTCGTAAAGAAAACCCTGCTGGAGGTTGTGGATGTTGTGAGGGAGCCCCCACTGGAGGTGGAAGTGTACAACAGATCTGGAAGATAGAAAAGAGTTAAGAAGGTCAGAACCAGAAGTCATGTTGAAGGTCATGAAGGAAGTTGTCAAGGTATCAAAATAAAAAAAAGAATCCTCCAACATGGGAGCTAAATGCTAGCTCAGGACAGCTGATGATGAGGACTTGGTGGTGGGAGAAGAACAGTGACCCATCAGAGTGAGAACATCCTCAGAAGGATATTTAAATTATGATCCTGATTCAAATATCTTCAGGATTTTTACTCTCCTGTCCAGAGAATACAACAGTGGTTACAATAAAGCTCCTGTTGATGTTTCCAGTGTCTGAGTTGGTCGTTCCAGGGGCGTTCCTGTGACTGCAGCAGCGACTGCGCTGACACGTCCTCCTACCTGAGCAGGTGTCACTCCTGCAGGGTGGAGATAGGTTGCTTCATAGTCTATGACCGCACCAACTACATGGGCGACCAGTACTTCATGAGAAGGGAAGAATATGCCGACTACAAGAGCGTGATGGGAATGAGCGACTGGACCAGGTCCTGCCCTACGATCCCCATAGTGACTGCATTTTACATCACCACACAACCTGTAATGAAGGAAATGAATCACTGTACGCTGACATGTAGTCGGTGTCAGTTTTTTTTGTCTTCTTTATTGAAAAGATTTAAAGATTACAATCAGAGCTGCATTCAGACAGACTTGAAATCTCTTTTGGCGGTTTGGTAGCTATCTGAGTGTTTATGTGTGGTCCTAAAATGCAAGACTAATAACAAGTAAACTCTTAAAGCAAAGGTTCCTTTCATATAGTAACTAAATTAGAATATTCAAATGGACCTGTTCTTAAAAGCTACACAAACTTACCAACATTAACCAGCTTTAGGCTGCTTTACAAACTCAGCTGCTAGAGACTCAGCAATTATGCTGAGTCGGAGCTTTCTTAGATTGTTATAAAGGGAAAAATCGGGGCAAAAAATGTTAAATTGTGCCATGTGAGCTAGCTGGTCTTTAGCAGGCACATGCGGAAGTCTGTCTGACGGTTAATCTACTCAGCTTAGTTTTCTCTTGTGGAAAAGTGGCTTTTCCTCTCTACTGTCCCCACATACTTGCTCAGGAGGGAATGCTGCAACGTTAATAAATCGATAAATTTAACAGGCTTGAAATCAACAGTAGACATGATGCAATGACTACAGAAGGATAAAGGTCATTATAAAAGAAAATAACACAATGGCTTGATACTGATGTTTATTACTTTCTGTTTTCATAAACTAAACAGAAGCATAATGTAGTAAAAAAATCCAAGTAATTTAGTGAATATGGATTTTTTGTCATGATTAGGTGAAAATGAAGCTTAATGTGTTTAACTCCAGCTCTTGCTTTTGCAAGATCAGTAACTCTTCCTCCAGAGGTTCTGCTGGAAGCTGGTTTGTGTTCAGATCAGCTGATCATCAGATGCGAGTTAATGTGTTAGTCACTGACAAAGGGCCACTTTTGGGCCCAGAACGTGTTAGAAAAACATATAAGATTACACGAGAAGTATTTTCACTTCCTGTTGCGAGGGACGCACGACGTGAGCCAATCAAAGTAAACCCAGGGGGAGCGGTGGAAAATGTCACACATTCCCGACAACAGCATCAGCAGAAACTGGATCGGGGAGGCAGCACAACGGAGGACGATCATCCCAGCTGGAAAGTTTCTCTCCAAACATTTCTCGGACAGGAGAAGTCGCCAAGTGCTCACTGGGAAGACACCGACGCGCCTGTGGTTTCGTCCTCAGGCGGGTCTGGAGGTCCATTCTGCGCCTGTGCTTCCGGAACGCTCTCTGGATAACCGCTGCTGCCACCTCTTCCTGCTTCCTCAGCAGGGTGCTGCTGATTGGCTCGTGAGACACCTGCAGCACAGAAGGGGTCAGTGTTGGAAACACTACCTGTGTCAACCAGCTTCATGATGTTTTATTGACCCGGAGGACCTGACGAGTTTTTCACAGCAGAACCGTGAACATCTGCAAGGCGGCATTCATGGTGGATTTTGTGATGTTGAGGTGGACAGGTCCTGTTACAGAAAAACAATACCCAAATTTGGTGCTAAGCAAGGCATTTCATATGATTTCTATATAATTCAGTTCAGAGTTTATCCAGAAGATTGAATTTTTCCTGGACTTCAATGTGGCCTTCAAGTTTTCCTTAGAGAACAAAGGTTGCCTCTTGATAAACTTAACAGGCTTGAAATCAACAGTAGACATGATGCAATGATGTCTACAGTTGACATCATTGCATCATGATGTCAAAAGTAGACATCATGATGCATCATGATTTTATTTTTTAAAATAAAAGTTACACTGCAGCTTTAAGCTTTCTCCTGAAAGTTAAAACTGTGTTGTCTGTTTCTGGTTGAATGTCGTCATTTGTGGACTATTTCCCACACAGTGAAACGGCTGATTTCTAATTGTTTGGAGACGTTTCCTACCAAAGATGATGTAAAGATGTTGCAGTGTTGTTCCTTTAAATCCTAAAAACCCAGAGGGTTCCTCTCGATTAGTAACTCGATGGGTATTTGCTTGATGATTTTGACGACTGCATTTTATAAAATGTCATGTTTACTTCATAATTGGTGACTGTATGATGTTTTTGTGGAGTAAAGTACTTTGATCTGCCTTGATGATGAGAATGTGCTGCACAAATGAAATTGGCTTTACTTTTCTAATAATAAGCTTCTAACATGATGCGCCTGCATGTAATTTAATCCAAATGAAGAAGAGTACAAATCTTGTGTTTATCACATTTTTCAGAAAAAACCCCAAAAGGTATTTCCTTACGTTTTTATTTCTCTTTAGTTTTTGCTCTCTTTTTTTCCAACATGACAAAGTTCTGATTCTTGTGACGGTTTCCAGTTGTGCATTAACAGGATGAAAAAGTTAAAAAGTCTTATGGCGAACGCTCACGCAACATATAAAGTGCACAATCTAATTAAGTTAAAAAATAAAATAAAAGAGAACCTGTGTTCTATTGTTCCCAGTGAATTTCTTCTCCAGCTGGACTTTAAGAGAGTCCATTTCTCTCTCTTCACCAAATGTCTGCGTACAAGAAAACAACAATAATAATAGCAATCATAATAATAATGATAATAATCAGGAGTTGGGCTAAGTTGTGTCACCTGAGTCATGAGTGCTTTCAGGACATCCAGGCACCAGATCTGGTCTCCCGGAAGCAGAGGCAGATCCATGTTGATCAGCCGGATGTTGTTTGGCTTAGGAATCCTCAGCGGATCCTGGAGCGCATCGCAAAAATCTGACAGCTCACTGTGGAAAGCAACAGAGTTCAATAACCACCAACAGAGACTGACAGGGTTTGTTTAGGTCCAGGCTGCGTCACGGAGAGACTCACCTGTACGGTATGACCTGTGAGGCTTCAGGATCAAACTTCCTCCAGGTGTTGTAAAACATCTGCAGCAGAGAGGCGTCTCCAGCTGCCCTGCTGTTGAGACTCCCCAGGACGACAGCGATAAAGAGGTGGACCACCAGCAGGAGGTGCAGCAGGACGTAGGAGCAGAGGAAGACGACGCCTGCCGACAGGTCGGCCCAGTACCAAAGTGGGACAACTGTGGGTGGAGAATATTTCGTGCTATTCCGCACCAGAAGGGACCAGGTAGAGGACGGGCTGAAGAGAATCATACTGATTATGCTGTCCCCGATCGTCCCAAAGTTCATCGTGTAAAAAATACGCGTCCCGACGAAGGAATAGGTGTACACCACAAGGAGGAAGAGGAGCCCGATGTTCATGAGGGCAGGAAGAGACATCATGAAGCCAGTGAGCAGCATCTGTATCCTTCTACCCAATCGGAAGAATGGGAGGACTCTGCTGATGCGAGCCAACCGGAGAACAAAGAAGGTAGCCGGGTTGACGAAATACTTATCCAACAAATCACTGATGAACAAGCCTGAGGGCAGAGAGAGGACAGTTTTAGTATTTCCTCTAATGAAAGTTTGTTGGTTTTAACCCTCAAAAGATTGATGATCAAGAACGTCTTGCACAAGATGATGATGTAATCACCGTCAGACGGAGTTCAATAGATCAATAGACCTCAGGTTTGAAGTCACAGCAGAAAAGTCAAGACGGTTTCTCGCTAGCGGAGGATTTCTACTGTTTAAACAGAAATCATTTGATTCAGAGCCTCGGCTTTTACCAGAAGTGATCCGTTTTCTTTAACATTTAATTGTTTTTCCAGGGTAGTACTGAATAAGGTGGCATATTTTATGATAAAAATGCGTCAAATATTAACAATTGCATTGGGATTCTTTGCCGAAAAACCCAATTTGACCCAAATTAAATCACACATTTCATAGCAAAATAAATCATTACAATAAAGCAGTCTAGGAGATAATATATGTCAAAAAAAAAATCTTTTCAGGTTTTCTGTGGCTTTGCCGTCTGAGTACAGCATGTTATTACTGCAGCTAATTACCGGGAGCAGTTCTGCTTCAAACCGTTCTGGAGATGCTCAAACACATACAGTCACATTATAAACATGTCAGTGATCTGAGAAGATCCCACCAGCTGCCTACAACTCACCTAAGATCAAAAAGACGAGGACTACAAAGTCCAGGATGTTCAGGCCGAAGCTGAAGTAGTGCCGTCTGAGAGCGGTGATCTTCAGGAAGAACTCGATGCAGTAGAGAATTATGAAGACGAACAAAAACCATACCAAGACGTCTACTCCTTGGTCAGACAGATCGTCTGACTCCATCATCAGCACCACCACGTTCACGCAGATCAGCGCCACCACCAGAATCTCAAATGGCGGAGCGGTCACCAGGTCGAAGAGCCGAGCCTGAAACCAGTTCTGGTGACAATCAGGAGCCTGGTGTCAGTTACTTCCCATTACTGCGAAAAGCCAATAAAGTTCAGGAAACCTTCACAGAAAACTGAGCCTGGAGCAGACAAATAGGTTGTTTAACTTTTACTGTACTGGTTGGTTCTGGGGGAATAAAATTGCCGTCACACCAAGGACTGGTGTTGACAGTTTTAATGAGTTCAGGGATACGCTGGGCTTCAAATGCCGTTTTTATTTTTACGTGGTGCTTCAGATGAAAGTCTTCCCTGACTGCAGATTTTAGAGTCTGCTCCAGCCTGGACTGTGACCTGAACACCGTGCGACCTGAACACCGTGCGACCTGAACACCGTGTGACCTCACCGTTGGGCGCGGAGCAGCTTTCTCAGGTGACTTGGGGAACATCTTCCTGACGGTGCCGTGAAACTTCAGCTGCTCCTCCGCCATGAAAACATGTTTACCTCCAGCGTGCAGAAACACGGGGAAGACGAATTAACTTACAGAAAGCAGGCAGCCGTGGCAATCACTGTAATAAAACTTATCTTGTCGCTCAGCTGATGAAGAGCGTCGACAAAGAACCTGATGAAGAGGTTGGCGCTGAAGAAGCAGCCAAAGATGATGAAAAGGACAAAGTACAGGTACATGACCGGTCTGGACTCATAGACAGGCTGCATGTGCACCTACAAACAAGCACAGACCAGTAACAATACAATTCCCAATACAGTAACTGGTATCATTAATGGGACATTTATTAAGACCACTTCCAGCAGTGAAACCTTGTATTGAACATTTTCAATCTATCCATATGTGCTTTGGAAGCTGTTCTAATATGATAAAAATGTTTTTTTCTTTTTTTTTTTTGCAGCATTTAGAACATAGCAGAATTTTTAGATTTAAAAATGTAACCTATTAAAATCGGATTTCAGCCTTTTTTTCAGTTTTTTTTTTCTTTTTTTACATATTTGTTAAAACCATTACCATGTACTGGCAGTGTAATAGAAGACATAAAATCTGAAAACAATTGATTTCCTCTCCCTTCTCTCTCAGTGAGAACTCCAGAAATAAACCATTCGGTCAGAAACAACAAATCAGAGCCAGGGGGAGGGTCTTACCGCTGTCAATCACTGTGGCGTACTTGCTGCCCAAATGCTGCCCCTTTCTCTCTGCTACGCCATGAATGCTTGGGGGAGAAACGGTTTTCCTGGAAAGGTACCTTCCAGAATGCACATTCAGCAGCATGTTCATAAGGTTGATTGACATCGAAAAGACCCTCCTCCTGTCTTTGACTGGGTGTCTTTCTTCAGACAGCAATAGAAGCTCAGGGAGGAGAAGGAGCTCAAACCTTTCGCCACTCATCATTCTCAAAACAAGCTGTCACAACATGCTGACAGTTTTAACAGATATTTAAAATCATATTTTCATAAAGGTTACATCCAACTTTTAGAAAGTATTGAATATGATCTAGGTCGTACTTTATGGTAACGGTATTTTGAAGGTACTGTTCACATAATTTTAGCTTGGCAGGGGCTTTACAGCACTGTCCACTATCTGCATGGCGGCAGACGGTGGAGTTTGTCTCGACACAACAGCGCTACCTGGTGGTGCACTGACCTTTGTGGAGTCCACAGCGGCGTAGATGATTTCTTTCCAGTCTGCTGATGTGGCCTGCATCGAAGCACAGGCCTCCATCAGAAAAACATGAACACATTAGTAGGGAAAGCTGCTGGTTGAGTCAACTGACCATGATCAGCAGCGAAAGCAAACCCATCCCCACACGGTCAAAGTTAAACTCAGCGGGCTTCCAGTGGACGTCTGTGGAGCTGCCGTCATCGAGCTCATAGCACTGCGTCCTGTTAGTCGCGTCGAAGATCACGCCGTCCGTGTGGTTGGAGCAGTGAGCGAACTTCCCTGCAAACAGGTTCACGCCCAGGATGCTGAAGATCAGCCAGACCAACAGAATGACCAGCAGAGAGCTGCACATGGAGGGCGCGGTGGCCGCCGTGACCCGAAGCACCGCCTGCACGGAGAAACGACGAGGAGTCAGCCGGAGGTCAGACCAGTCACAGCTGCTCTCTGTCAAGAAGGCGACTGGTCACTCAGTCGACCTATTATTTCTCTTATTATATCTGGAAATATTTCCTGTCTATTGTCCGGTGTCGCTATGTCTCTACGTCCAGCTAATATGTCTTCAGGTGTTTGTGTCCATCTGTATCCCCAGTCTGTTCATTTAATCATTGGGTCTGCAACCTTTACAACCCACAAAACTACTGTTGACAACCTTCGTCCTCCATTCAGCTAAATAAAACCAATTCTGAATATTACCTGACCTTTAGAGAGAAATTTATCTTATATATATTTCTTAATTAAAATATAGAGGAAACCTGTTGTCATTTTAAAGAGAAACCATTTTATTCATGTTTTTAGGTTTTAATATAACAAAAATCAAAAAACCTGTTTGAAATGATGATGGCTACATCTTCTTAAATGGGAAAATCATTTAAGAAAAAATATTTCTACCAGAAAAATAGAGCTAGATAAAAACCATTGGTACTTTTAATGTCATTCTGTTCTGAAAATTAAATGTAATTATCCCATAAAAAACTAGAAAGAAGCTTCATTTGTTGCTACATCTAGTTTTGAAACTTTATTGGTTTCTTTATCACTTTTAGTCAAATTTCTTGAGAGCCACTGAGGAACATCCAAAGGTCCAGTTGTAGCTCCGGAGCCACAGGTTGCAGACTTAGCAGACTCTCTGTCCCTTAATCTGCCTTGCAAACTTGTCTGTCCATCTGATTCTTCTGTCCGTCTGTCTCTCCGGTCCATCTGATCAGATCTGCCTCCAGTGTTTGTCTGTCCCTCTTTTCAGTCTGTCCAGTTGTCTTACTGTTCTCTTTGAAAAATAAATCTGTCCGTCCCTCTCCAATAACCAGTTGTCCAAATGTCACCTCTCTGTCGCTCCGTCTGTCTGTCCTTCACCCCGGTCAGTCTTTGCAGCCTGTCTTTGCTCAGAGGTCTGTCTTACCCTCATGCCTTTGAAGCGAGACGGGACCCTCAAGGTCCTCAGCGCCCTCAGGGTGCTCAGGTATGCAGCGGAGTATCCCAGCATGACACAAACCGAGCTGAACAGAGACACCTGGAGGACAGACAGACCTGCTGATGACATCATGGTACAGGTGAGCAGGAAGCAGCAGTTTAGGTTTCTGTTAGTGGGATGATTTGTCCGTCTGCACGCCGACTCAGAAGCCATCACTGCTGGCGTTCGTATCAGAACAGCTGCAGCCGCCAGAGCCAGACCGAAGGTGTGTTACTGATCGCGCTCTTACGGCTAAGATGAGAAAGTCGAGCCAGCACCAAAAGCTGCTGAAGTATTTCTTGAATCCAAAAGCGGTCCACTTGAGAAGCATTTCCATCAGGAACAGGAAGGTGAACAGCTGGTCTGCTCTGTCCAGAACCATCTGCAGGACTGGATGGTGGAACAGCATCGTTTCTTCTAACGCCTGAATGCAAACAGACTTGTGTCCATGTGGTCATTTCAGATTTTAACGATTTATTAAAAAACAGAAAATCATATCCTGATGGAACAATTACAACAGGACGTGCTGTGCTTATGTTTACCAAAGCAGCGCTGCTCAGCAGGATGATGAAGATGATGAAGATTTCAAATAATCTGTGTTGTATGACGAGGAGACATGCCTTCCTGAACTTATACCACGCCCTCCCTGCTCCTTTGGACGTGTCTATATCCTGGATCGGACAGCGACTGTAACAAACTGAAACGCAAAGGTATTGATCACCCGATCCGCACATGCTGCGCCGATCACTTCACGAAAACATGTGACATTTCAGTTTATCCTGCTGAAAGACGAAACTGCATGATTAAAGACACATTTTTACTCAAAATGTCTGATTTCTGCACAAAGTGGACATACTTGCACAGCAGCAATCTCCAGGGGAGTTTTCTGTCTGATTTTTGTTGTCCTGAAGCTTCTGCACATCACCATCCTGCAGAAACCCACACAGATTCCCACATTGATGTTAGAGTAATTCATCAAAGACAAAATGTTCAGTGCGCTAAACAATATATAGAACAAATAGATGGACAATCCTGTACATAGACGTGTTGTTTTGAGGCGCAATGCTTCAGGGTCTGGTGTGGTCGACCATGACAGACCGAGGAGAGCAATTATGCAAATAAAGTCAAAAAGCCTCATGCATGAAGCTGTTCCAGAACTGAAAATCGCCACATGTCCTTTCCCTCCAGATCTGCAAACAGCCTTCAGTATGGAAAACATTACACCAGTAGAATGTTTTACTCACGTTCTGCGTCTTCTCTCCATTGTTTGTGTCAACTTGGATTTCAAAGTTGTTCCCAGGAGACCTCCTGCTGAGCTCCACCGCGCTCGAGTCTTTGACTGAGTCATTACTGTGATGTTTAAGTGACGGCTGGCCCAAGCTAACGGGAGTTAAAGCCAGATAGTCCTGTCTGTCTTTGTTTTTTGACTCAACTGTTGGGAAATTACGCAGAAAATCCTCAGTGCTTGAACACAAACCTCAGAAAACCAAAGTTTACTGTGACACCACAGCAGCAATCAGGAACCATAGAGGAAAATAAGAAACCCACCTTTCTGGTCGGTGTTAGCGTCGGTCCTTTTTCCTGTTAAAGCCCCGAAAGAGTCCAGGATCCAGGATCCAGCATGACGTTCATGAGGTACTTGTCCTGCTGCAGCGGCTGGTTTATTAGCACAGGATGGGCTCAAGAACAGATAGAGAAACAAATTCACCACCTGAAACAAAACCAGGAGCACAGACAAAATCCAAACTATGACAGGGAGCAAACAAAACCAGCAACCAGCAAAAGCGCCACTGGCATTGTCATTGATCTGTCAATTATTCTTGGTACTCTGATTTGTCAGAACAGAGACTCACCAGGATGTTTCCGATAAGCACAACAGCTGTGTAGTAGATGACACAGAGGCCCTTGTTGGAGATCTTCATGCAGTCCCACATGCACTCACTCCACTCGCCTCTGAGGACTCTGAAGACGAGCAGGAAGGAGTGCGAAAAGTCCGTCATGTGCCAGAGTGCAAGGTTGCAGCGGGAGGAGAACATGCAGACATTCTCTTTGTGATCTTGGTAGTTCTGCTGAAAGAGCTGCGTGCCGACCACGGCAAACATGAAGACCACGGAGACCAGAACCACACTGAGGTTTCCCACGGAAAACCAGGCAATCTTCATCAGCGTGCCCAAGGCGGGCCACCAACGACCCAATCTCAGCGGTCGCAACTGGACGGAGAGCGCAGTGGTGGGTCAGAAAAGATCGGCGGGAGGGGAAAACGCATTCATTTAACGCAGACGATGGTGGCGATGTCATCATCGTACTGACCAATGTCACTGAGCGCAACACAGTCAGACCCTCGAGGTCAGCCAGGCAGAGATCCAACACAGTGAGGATGACGAGGAGGAAGTCAAAGATGTGCCAGCTCACCTGTAACCACAGCGAAATCCCAAACCGCATGTGAAGTACTCAGAATAAAACATTCAGCTACCAGTCAGTGTTTGGTGATAAGAGAAAAGAATAATTGGATTGAATTAATAAAAAATAGACGTGCATGGCAGCTCTGAGTGGCCATAAAGCTCGATACTATTAGATAAAAGAAGTTTCAGTATCTCGTGACGTTGACGATGCTGGACTGACGCGCAACAAGAACGTTCAATTTTCTTCACTTCTCTCACCTTGAAGTAGCCTTCGACGCCCAGAGCCAGAACTTTGAGGAGAAGTTCTGCTGTGAAGATCGCAGTGAAGACCTGGAGGTCAGAGATCAAAGGTCACTTTGAACCCATTTGTTCATCGGCGTGGGAACCTAACGAAAGAGGGGCACGACCCGGACCAGAAGCGAACAAGCGAAGAAGTTTCGTTTGTGTGAAACTGTGTCTTGTCTGAAAATCGACTGAAGCGGAACTAAAATTAATATGAAGCTGCCCAGAAACTGGGATGGCACTAAAACTTTAGTCAAGCTGGACTAAAATTGCCTGGAAGCAAAACTCATACTTGTCTAGCACGGCACAGAAAAGAAACTAAAATCATACAAATAGAGTGAATTGAAAATTATGCAAACTGATATGCTCCAAAACTGGGCTAAACATCAAATAAAGCCCATCTGTATCACTCACTACACGCAAATTGGTCAGCGTCTCTTCAAATCCCTCCCTCATTTCATGATGTTCCATGGCCATGAAGATAGTGTTGATGATGATGCAAACAATAATTCCCAGGTCAAAGAACGGACTCAGGACAAAGGGGCGGAGCTTCAGTTTGAGCCGCTGAGAGCAGATGCTGCATTCGCCCTGCAGGACCCTGTCAGCGCGGGAGCAGCAGGAAGGCCGGACCTCGTCCTCAGCATCTGAAGCACAAAGAGTACAGTGAGACCTGCAAGAGCTTCGAGTTTGTCGACTCAAGCCATTTAACGCATAACCTCCTACATCGGAAAGGTCACTGCGCTTATCCAAAGCAACCGTCATTTACCCCCCACGGTGACGTTCTCCTGATCGAGAGTCTTTGCTGCAGGTTTCTTCTTCTGTGGTGAGTCATGTTCCTCCAGGAGCTCCGTCTCAGCAGTGGCCTGCTGACCGCGGAAATGTTCACTCAATATATGTGAACGGACCACATCCTTGTTTCATATGCTGGACGCATTGTTTGTCGTGACACAATTAATTTTAGCATCGAGTGAAGACATTTTTTTTTCTTCTTTTTTCGTATCAACAGCAAATGACACACATGGCCCACTAGAGGTGAGCAATTGGAACAAAATAACACCCTCAAAAGTGGAACCTTTAATTTCTACACTTTTCCAAATTAGGGCAGAATTTTTCTCAACTTACTGGTTTTTCCATCAGGTAAGCAAGTAAACATATTGTCATGCTGTAATTAATTATATTTCTTCAAATAACCACAAAGGAAAGGAAATATTTGCCACTTCATCAACAATGGCATTGAGTATTTTTCTTATTACCAGCATTAAGTTTGTAATTCTTGAGCTGGAACAACGGCAGGTGGGAAATCGGAGAAGGTAGGAAGCCGATTATGCACCAACAGCCAATGAAAACGAGGAACTCACCTCACTGTCCTCGCTCTTTTTCAGCACCTTCACAATGCAGCTGAACTCTTCCTCTGTCTTTTTGGCCTCAGCCATTTCCTGTTTCACCAGCGCCATGGCAACCGCTGCCACAAAGAGGCTGACCGCCAGGAAACATCCAGGGAAGAAGACGAGCACAAACGCACTCATATAGGCTTTACCAGCTGCTTGCAGTGTCTGAGGGATGACAAGACGGTTGTATGGGTTTGACAGGAGCGTAATTGCAAAAAGAAGCTCAGCGGGACCAGACCAGGTTTCTCAAGTGGGGTTAGTTTGGTCCTCACCAGCTGCAGCAGGACGTCCCAAAGGTCCTGCATGGCGATCCTGACCACAGCCAGCAGAGACCAACTGAACGTGTCAAAGCTGGCAAATCCACGCTCCGGGTTCCTCCCTGTCTTTATGCAGGCGAAACCTCTTGGACAGCGCCTGAACACGTCATCACATGCTGTTACAGCTGCCCCAGGCTTCTGGAGGAGCTGCAGTTGTGTTTACATACCTCGAATCGGAGGAGTTCCCGCATAGCATAGGGCCAGACTGACCAGGGTCAGACTGACCAGGCATGACATAAAAATTTTCTATCAGACAGAGATGTGACCTTTCATTAGTGTAGTGTCCAATGAGCTCAAATGTTGCAGTACTTCCAGAAAAAAACAAAAAAAACATCTGAAAGATTATAAACCTAGAAAGATGAGAATTTCAGATGTCATCATACCTACTTTGTTGGTATAATCCTCATAAGTAATGTTGTCATTGAAATAAAGTGTCTTGTTGTCAGTGACCAACAACTCAGGCTGCTCAGTGGTTGGTGTCTCCAAACTTCCCGATGGAGAAGAAACGACACATTTATGCTTGAGGACACCCATGAAAAACTGCATGCCAACCAGAGCCAGGACACTCAGGACGAACAGCATCAGGACCATGGCGACGGCCAGCCACTTCAACGACTGCACGAGCCTCTCGGCCATCTTCTTCGGACCTGCGGTTGGAGCACACAGGGACGTCTGCTGAGTCATCAAATGTACTCCCGACGCCTCTCACATCCGACACACAAACACCGACACGTGCTGACAATGACAGACCTCCAGATCCAGATGCGCACAAAGTGCGCATCTGGATCTTCAGCATGAAACGATGATCATTACTGTTTAACTTTAAGAAACACTAAATGAATGTTGAAGCAAATATTTATTGATATTTTAACAGTTCAATGATTTTATCAATGCATACTGGCACAACCGGCCCTTTAAGAACATCGAGATCTTTGATTCGGCCCAAAATGAAAATGAGTTTGACCTTCAACCAAAGACTGGAATTATCCCAGTCTTTGATAAGACTGGGATAATTTGAGTTACAACATTTAACTTTGTGGGTAAGCAAGTGTTTTTGAATTAAACTGAATTATTTCGGGTATTTATCGGTTAGGTTTCAGGTGTGTCTCAGGTGTGTGTGTGTATCTCGTCCACGTGTCTCGTTGTCTTTACGCAGTGATGTTGAGGAAATCCAGCCAGTTCCAGGGATCTCTGAGGAAGGTGAACCGTCCCAAGCAGACTACTCGCGACAAAAGCTTCAGGATGACCTCACCAATGTAGATAATCATGAACACATACCTGTACACACACAGGTGATGTAAAACAAATATATATGAAATTTTGAGACAGTCTAAAGCTGCAAATATGAGTAGGACAAGTTTTATTCAGCTGATTCTCTCATCGCAAAGGATTCATAGGAATTGCAACATATTTAAGGCTTTAAGGTTTCACAGTGCAGAACTTTAACAAAATGCTCAAAGACGCCATTAAATCTGTCAATAACTCCAGGTCCACGGATATCACTTGCTATTCTGAGTTCACATTTAAAATCATTTGTTTAGCTCTTTCCAGATTATTTTACAGTTTCCTTTGGCTTCAGACACATTTTTAAATGTACGCATTTTTTTTTTGTACTTCCACTTGAAGAACCTATTTCAATAGGTTACAATTTTTACAGAATTGATATTTCAAATATTTTATTTCTATTAAGCGGGTGGGACTGGAGGAGCAACAGCCCACTCTTATAGGTGTCTTTTTGTGCCATCGTTGACTCGCTCCGCGTCTCTGGTCCACAACATGTGAGGCACTGTCATTAAAATACAGTTGGTCGGAATCGTCAGGATGAAGAATACGCTGAATATAGTGTTTATGTTAAGAAAATGTAATTATGTTATAAAAGTAGCACAAACGGACACAAAAACCACATGAAAAACAAACAAAACTGAAGCAAAAATACGTAAATTTAGCAGAAAAACAGACCAAACAATGCGTGCCATACCAAGCATAGCATACCAGCAAAAAATGTAAGACAGAAATAGGGGGTGAAAAAAACACACACAAACCACAAATCCATAAATAATCAACACAAAATACACAAAATCAAGCGAGAAAAAACACAAAATTACCACATCAAAAAGCACACAGATACAAAAAGCCACCGAGAAAACCAGGGCAAAACCAGCCAAAAGCATTTAGACGTTCAACAACAGCATAAAAACACACAACAGTCAGAACCCCGTGTGGTTCTGGTTGTGAAGGATATGGGTGAAGGAGGATCTTGATGGCGGAGGATCTGAAACAGCTGAATGGGCTGAGCAGGAAACAGGCTGGATCAGCATCAAACCTGTGGATCAGCGTCTTTTTACAGATGACGATGAAGGTCTGCAGAAAAGAATGTCAAAGTGAATTTAACACCTTTAAACGACCGACATCACTTTCCTTTCAGTCCCTGAAATGCTGCCTTCAAAATGCGTGACGTAAAATCTGCTGTTTTGAGCTTTACATCATGTTCTAATGTGGGGGCCGGCAAGATGGCGGCGTGAGTAGTCGATCTTTACAAGCTCTTCCAAGAATGTTTTAATAAGGAGACTTTATAGCTACTTTAATACAGAGAAACACTTATTTTGAGACCTTTGCTAGATATTGTGTTCAAATAGACACTCCGAAGACTTCAAAGAATGGCTGCTAGTGGTAAACGTAAATCCGTGAGCACAGAAAGTACACCAACTAAAATGTCGGCTAAAAGTCACAAGTCGGCGGAGGACCAGGACCTCGCTGAAAACATTATAGCAGCTTTAAAGTCGACGATAAATGAGAGAGCGGACGGTCTTCAAGCCAGCATAAATGATCTAAAAGATTCGGTGGATTATATTCATGCTGAAATGAAAGAAATGCAAGTAAAGATGACTGAAACCGTCAGGAGAGTGGAGAACTCAGAAAAAAGGGTGCAGCAGGTGGAAAACAAGCTGCTCGAGCTTTCATGTTATAAAAGAAGATGGAACTTGCGTCTTTCAGGATTAACTGAAGAAGAAAGGGAAGATGTTCGCAGAAAGGTTATTTCCATTTGCCAAAAGACAGCGCCAGAATGCACAGAAAAACTACCAGACGTCATCGACAGCGTACATCGGCTGGGTCGCAACAAAAGCACAGGGCGTCCTCGAGAAGTGATGATCCAGTTCTCCATGAGACACTACAGGGATACGGTATGGAAGGCGGCTAAGCAGTCATCTTTCCTGAAGTCAAGCAACCTGCGCTTTAAGGAGGACCTCTCTCCAGAGGACCGTCAGGGAAGAAACATGCTGTGGCCACTGGTGAAAAAAGCACGCGAAGAAGGGAAAACAGCCTTCTACATTGGTCCCAAAGCCTTTGTCATTGACAGGGATGGAAAAAGAAAAGAACTTGTTCCTGGTAATGTCTAGAAGACATTTTGAAACAAAGAGCTAACAGTTAAGTAATGACACTAAAATATTATAAAGGCTCCATTCATTATTTAATTTTTTGGACGGGAGAATTTGTAAGATTTCCTGCAACTTAATTTTCAGGGTTAGTAGCTACAACTCTTAGTAGCACTTTTATGTTTAAAATTATTTCACTTAATGCTCGAGGGTTAAGAAACAATACTAAACGAAAGGCAACTTTTCTATATCTTAAAAATTTTAAAGCTGATTTCTGTTTTATTCAAGAAACTCATTCCACTACAAATGATACCAAATTCTGGAAAAGTCAATGGGGGGACGAATTATGGCTGGCACATGGCACTACTCAATCAGCAGGAGTGGCAATATTACGAAACAACTTCAATGGAGATGTTTTATGCTCACTCTTAGATACATATGGACATTTTGTTTTATTAGCTGTATCAATAAATGAAGAATTTTTTTTGTTAGGTTCTATCTATGGGTATAATACCAAAGCAGAAAATACGCAACTTTATGATAGATTAAGTAACGGGGTGAATTATCTATGTGACAAGTATCATAATATGAATATTATTATTGGTGGGGACTTCAATTCAACTCTTGATGATTCATTAGACAGATTTCCTCCAAAGGCTAATATAAATACAAACACAGCTCTTAAAGACTTTATATCAACCTTTGGCCTGATTGATGTATGGAGACAAAAAAATAGCTCAAAAATTGAATTCACATGGCAAAACAAATCGGGCTCCTTTCAATCAAGAATTGACTTTTGGTTGATATCTGATTTAATAACAGATGAAATTACGTCGGATATTCTACCAGCTCCTTTATCAGATCACAAGCTTATTTTGATTGAAAAAACAAAATTAAATAAGTACGGAAAAAATAAAATTACAGCTTACTGGAAACTCAATTCGTCACTGTTAGAAGATAAAACAGTAGAAGAAAATATTAAACAAACAATTATTAAGTATTGGAATACAGCTTGTAGCCAGAAGGAATTTAGTAAAAACTGGGAACTCCTCAAATATGAACTTCGGAAAATTTTTATGAAAACTGGAGCTGAATTTGCTAAAAAAAAAGAGGAAAATAGAATCAGAAATAATAAAAGAAATTATCTCTTTAAATAATGTTCTGCCAGAAAATATATCTGAAGAACAAAAAATTAGATTAAACCATTTACAGTTGAACCTGGACAATATTTACATATCTAAAGCTAAAGGAGCCTACGTCAGGTCGAGACAGAAATGGTTAGAAGAAGGAGAAAAAAACTCTTCTTATTTTTTTAGGTTAGAAAAAAAGCACCAAAAGTCTAACAGTATTATGAAACTTCAAATTAATAATAGTATAACTGAAGATCCTGTTCAAATCTCTTCTTATTGTGAAACCTTTTTCAAAGAGTTGTATCAGTCACGGTGTTCTGATGAAACTATTACACAATTTATTAACTCGATGAATAATATGCATCAAATCAGTAAAATTAATAAAGACCATTGTGATTCTTTGATCACTCTTGAAGATATTCAAAAGTCTATTAATAAATTAAAATTAAATAAATCTCCAGGGACAGATGGTCTCAATGCAGAATTCTATAAAAAGTTTTCAGAGCAATTGTCGCCATTTTTACTTCAAGTTTATCTTGAAAGTTTGGACTCTGGATCACTTCCACCTACAATGACCCAAGGTCTAATTACACTGATTCCTAAACCACAAAAAGACAAGCTTCTTCTAGATAATTGGCGACCAATTACTTTACTACAAAATGATTATAAAATTATTGCAGGTTGCATTGCTACAAAAATTAAGAATACTCTTGAAGAAGTGATTGATGAAACTCAATCTGGATTCATTCCGGGTAGACATATAACTAACAATATTAGACTTATATTGGATTTGCTAGATTATTCAGATTTAATAGAGGAAGACGGTCTCATATTATTTCTGGATTTTTTTAAAGCCTTTGACACAGTGGAGCATACATTTTAAGGCATTAGAGGTATTTGGATACGGACAAATCTTCATTAAAAGCTGTCAAATGTTATATAGGAATTGCAATGCGTCTATAAAATTGTCACATGGCTGCTCTAAAAGATTTTATTTAAGAAGAGGTCTCAGGCAAGGATGTCCAGTATCTCCATACTTATTTATTCTTGCCATGCAAATTCTTTCTATAAAAATCAAAGAAAAAATAACAGGGCTTAATGTTGCAAACAAAAATATTGTAATCTCTCAACTTGCTGATGACACTGCACTTTTCTTAAAGAATAAGTGCGAAATAAAAAAATCTATTGAAATTATCAACACATTTTCCGAAGCTTCCGGTTTAACTCTAAATCTAAATAAATGTGAAATACTTTCCATTAAATCTCAATTAAAAGGCACATTTTTCAACATTCCTATAAAAGATAAAGTTAAATATCTTGGAATCACAATAATTAAAGATCAAAATATAAGATCAACAGAAAACTTTAACCCTATCATTAAATTGGTTGAACAAAGATTTAATCTGTGGCTACAGCGAGATCTCTCTCTCTTAGGACGTTCATTATTGGTCAAAGCTGAAGGAATATCTAGACTCGTTTACCCAGCCCTTGCTCTTGACGTTCCAAAACAAATCATTGCTAACATTAATAAAATAAATTTTAACTTCATATGGAAAAAGAAATGCCATCTCATTAAGAAAAGTAGTTTAATGAATAAAGTTGAAAAGGGTGGAATTGAAGCCCTTGACTTCATATCTTTAAATAATTCATTCAAAATTAAATTTTTAAAAAATCTTCTGAAAAACCCAAATTCTATATGGAATGCTATTCCAATTTACAACTTCAATAAAATTGGAGGTTTACCTTTTCTTCTTAGATGCAATTACAGTATTCCCAAAATACCCTTAAAATTATCTACATTTCATAAACAAATGCTGTTAAGCTGGACACTTTTGTACAAACACAATTTCTCTCCTCATAAATATTATATATGGAATAATGAAGACATTAAATACAAAAATAAGACAATATTCTATAAAAAATGGTTTGATAAGGGAATATTTCTTGTAAGCCAGTTACTAAATCCAGATGGCCATTTATTGTCTTATTCTGACTTTATGTTACTTTTCCAATTTCCTGTTACTCCTAAAGAATATGCAGTGGTATTTGACGCAATCCCTAGTGGATCATTAAAGCTTTTATCATCTTTACCTCCAGGTCAAACTAACTCTATACCAAATTTTGATTCAAATTCAATTTATATTGATTATGATTGTCCTTTTATAAGTAAGAAAGCAAACAACAAAATGTTAAGAAATATTCTATTAAGAGATATGGTTTTTTCACCAGCTTGTGTATTTTATTGGTCCAGAATTTTTGAAAATATAAATTGGAAATGGACTTGGTTACTCCCTAAAAAATACTTAATAAATAATAAAATAAAGAAATTTCTTATAAAATAATTCATAATGTGTATCCCAGTAAAACATTTTTGATAAAAAGATATAAATGGGATTTGGATGCTATGTGTACTTTCTGTAAAAATAATGAAGAAACACTTGTTCATCTTTTTTGGGATTGTAATTACACCAAAATATTCTGGAGAGATATGTCAAATTATTTTCATCAAAAAAATTTAAATATTACTTTTACAGCTAAGGATATACTGTTTGGGATGGACAAATGTAAACTTGTTGAAACAAAATTATTATATGTTGTTAACTTTTTTATTATTTACGGTAAATATCATATTCATACCTCCAAATATTCAGAGCACAAACCTAACCTTAAGATTTTATTATCCTCTATTAATATTTATATAGAATCTTTAAAAATTAGCTCAAATGCCAAAGCCATTCAAATCTTAGATGCCCTTAAAGAAATACAACCCTCGAGCACCGATTCGATGTCAGTATTGTAAAACAATTGTTCTATGTTCTATAAAGCCCTTTATTGTTGTAAATGTATTTGTATTTAAGAGTGTTACATGTTGTTTATGTTTGTTCTGTTTTTGCAATTAAAAAAAAAAAAAAAAAAAAAAAAAGAAGAAAGCAGAAAAAAAAAAAAAAAAAAAAAAAAAAAAAAAAAAAAAAAAATCATGTTCTAATGTTAGCCTTTCATCAAAAACAGACACGGAGAGTTGCTTTTATTCTTTCATGCACGACAACTGAAGATAATAGCGACATGATTGTGCTATAAAAAAAACTAAAACATTTTATTTATTTATTTTTTAAGTTGGTTCTGCCCAACATCCATTTTGGCCATGAAAGCAGTTCACTTGTAGTTTCTAAGTGACTTTATCTGTCATATGCTGTGCACGTCTTGTAAGCACATGTATGAGTTTAGACCATTTCAAATGGCCAGTCGTTGTCGGACAGACGCTGACTGATTGTTTCACAGGTGGGCAAACACATTTTTCTTGTAAATCCAAAGATGTTTGGTTTTGTATGTTGTAAAAGCCTTTTCATCCAGGACCCAGAATAACAAGTTCAGCAAGTGATTTATTGATTGATTTTATTTTTGCCCTGCAGAAATGAGAAGTGAAAACAAACCTTCTGTGATTGGTAGAAAGGATCCAGATCTTCCAGGGGTGTGCTGAGAAGCTCCGGGGCCGGGGCCCCATAAATAAAAGGGAGAGGTTTCCCCGCCTGCAGGTGACTGGCTGGTTCTCTCTGGTCTTCCTCTGGTTTCTAGCATGAATTCGGGTCGTGAGAGCTGGAGTTTCCCCAGCAGGATTCGTTTGCTCTGACTGAGAGATGAACGCTCACCTGCACCTTTTTGTTCTTCTCAGCTTCTCGTTGGCTCTCTTCCAACGACGCTGGCGTAAAGGGCCTAAAGACCTCCACGCCAACAGGGGGCAGCAGAGACGTCATCCTCTGGTTTCGTAGCTCCATGCGAACTTCGCGGCTGCCATGGAGCTGGTTTCTGTGGGGACATGACAAAGCATTGACTTTGAAACTGAGAGAGAGAAGAACGACATCGATGTAGTTTGGTTCAGCTATTGAGTCAGGCAGTAATACTATATCCGCCTTCACTTAATAACAAGACAAGTAAACACAAATTGTGTCATTTCTGTGTTTAATGAGGATTTTAAGAGAGAATAAATCCTTTCTGGCCCTGTGTGAACAAGTGATTGTCCCCTAAACCTAATAACTGCACCGTTAAGGGCAACAACTACAAACGAGCGTTTGCGATAACTTGCTGTGAGTCTTTTACAGATATGGAGGAAGTTTTGCTATTCTTCTTTGCAGAGTGGATCTAAATAAGCAACACTGGACGTTTTTGGCACAAACTGCCTTTTTACGGTCACGCCACAGCGTCTCAACAGGATTCAAGTCAGGGCTTTGACTAGGCCCTGACTTTGCTTTTCATCATTGTCCACCTGCAGAACCCAAGTGGGATTGATTTTGAGGTCATGAATTCATGGTTCCATTCAGCAGACCATCACACCACCACTGCCGTGTTTTACTGTTGGTTTTGTCCAGCCAGATGTGGCACCGCCCCCCCAAAACCAGATGCTGGCGTAGCCAATCCACACAAGGGTGGATTCATTTCTGTGTTGGATCATTTTATTCACATCAGCGTAAAGCTGAAGAATGGAAATGTTCTCAGAAACTGATGATGAAACAATGTAAAGGAAGACAGCTCAGCGACTGCTGAGACTCTGCAGACCTCCACATCCGTCTGTCTCCCCTCGCGGTGCGAACGCGCTCCACAAACCGGCTGCACAAAAGATCGTTCCCAGATGTCAGCAAGAGCATCAGTTATAGTTTTCCAGATGCAAATTTGTGATTTCTTTAATTGCAGATTTTATATTTGATAACAAAGCATCCCCACACTCTCTGTGCTCCAAGGTTCCCATCCTGTTTCAACTTCGCACATCTGAAAACGTTTTCAGTTTCTTTGTTCTGCAGGATTTCAGATGTGATCCGTTTCAGACGAACTGTTTTTTTGTCTGTTCTCGGCGTGACTGATTTGCTGTCAGTTTCTTGATGCTTTACAGAAGGAACCTCTTTGTATCATCAGTGGTGCAACATTGAGAGCCCAACATTGAGGGCCACATCCCCTCCATGGATGGGGCCCCATCCAAAGTGGGGCCCCATCCATGGAGAAGAAAAACTCCATGGATGTGGTATAAAAAAAAAAAAAAACCCTTCTAAATCCAAACTGAGTGAACCAGATCAGAACCAGCAATATGGGAAAGAACACATGATGATGAATTAAGTTTCTTCAAACCAGAGCAGAGAAAGTTTCTGCAGACAGACTCACCTCTGGGAGGGGGTCAGCTGTGTTTTCATCAGAGGCTCAGCTCGTTGCAGCCTGCTGCTCCAAAACTCAAACCAGGACATTTTCCACAACTCGATCCTGATCGGTCTCCGTCTCACTGTCCCGGCTCGTCTGTCCCAGCTTCTCGGTTTCCTGCAGCTGTTCTTCTCTACGAGCCTTCTGGGGTCTCTGCGGTTTTCAGACAGCTCTCCTGTTTTTCTGGTGTGTGGGAGGAGCTTCTGAAACCCTGAGTGTTAGAAGCTCCTCTATATCAGTGTGGTTCCCAACCGTGGCCCTCAGGACTCAACACATTACATGTTTCAGGTGTTTCCCAGCTCCAATACACACAGACTAAATTATTGGATTAGTAACTTCTACTAAACAACAATCAGAATCTGTCCATAGTTCATAATTTGACTAAACATTAGAGCTCAAAAACAGATAATCCATCTTTTACAATATTTGGATCAGATGGAGAACTGAAATCTGTGAATGTTAATGTTTAGTAAAACACTGACAGGTAGTTTTGGTCAAATGTTTAAAACGAAAACAGGAATGAAAAGTCTTATAGTTCTGTTTCAAAAATCATTTTGTGGCTTGTTTTATTACTTCAGGTCCTCCAACCTCAAAGACGGTGATGGAAACAAGCAAAAACCTGCCTGATAATTATAAGTTCAATAGCCTTGATCCTGTGAAACATTTTACCATTAGCTGAGAGAGGGTTTGACATGCAGGTGTTTTTTTTTTTTTATTCACAACACATTTTTTTTTAAAACAAAAAAAACAAAAACGGTTTTAAAACTATTTCAGAATCCCTTCGCAATGTTTGATTCATCTTTGAGAAACGCCTGACTCTTTTTACGGACAATAAACTTTTTAAAATCTAAATCTGTCCAGGGGTGTGAATAATTTTTGGTTCAAATCAGAAGCAGAAAATCCTTCCCGGGTTTGTCCTTAGAATATTGAATCGCCTCAGAGGCAATGATGTTGAAGAAGACTCAGGTTCTCTGTCCTGTTTGTTAGAAAGAGATTTATTCAACTCCGGGTGGGATGAAAGTTCCTCCTCGTCGCGTTATTGTTTGAGCAGAATGATCAGAGACCAGCTGGCGAAGCTCTGCAGCAGCTTTGACATCCAAATGTTCATCAAAGCCAGATGTGGGAATTTTAACTCCCTGTTCCTGTAGCTGTCCTGGATCATCATCAGTGATTGGGCAAGATATTGAAAGACTTTTTTGTATTTCAAAGTTAGAAATAGTTCAAGTTTCTTTACGATGTGTTCAAAGTCAGTGTTTAAGGGTCGGTACCTGCATGTTTTCCATTCTCTCTGGTTCAACACCTGGATCAAATGATGGCTTGTTAGGCCTCTGCAGATCAGACATGCTGAGGAGGGAACTAATCATGTTCTCTGACCAAGAGGTTTTTCCAGATTCAAATTTGATGAGAAAAATGTTTATTTCAGTTGTTGGTGGAATTGTGCTTTTGGCCATTAAAGACTCAGGAACAAAAGGAGACAAAAATTGGGCAGGAAATGATCCAAAGGAATGTGGGCTGCTTTCAAAAACTGAGGCCCACTGAGTCTCACAGCAGCGCTCCGATTCCACAGAAAAATCTTTTCAGTTGAACAATTCTTGCTCTGTCTGAGGGTCTGTGGAAAACACATCCTGTTTTTCTGGAATCACATTCCTCAAATACAGACGCACATTGACAGAATCTGATTGACAACAGCGTTTCGTCCCCCCCAATAAAATTTCTAATGGATTACACACTTGTTTGAATTCGTCTTTGTGAGGCTCAGAGTGAATTTTCTCAGGAAAACTTAGATGTTACACAACTGCTGTCTTTATCTCCATTTCTAACTTCTGGAATATATTTTCTCCTATTTTCTGAGTCTATAAATGTTGTGTAGTGACGATGAACATTTTACATCTGATATTTTAGACAAAGGCCATCTTAAAATTTTTAAAACAATTGTTACTCTCAAACATGCAAAGCCTTGTATCTAATGCCTTTGTGCCACAATGTCTCCTCCCCCTCTTGACTCAGCAGCCAAGCACAAAGACACGTCCATGAACAAACTTTGTTTTGCTCTGATTTTTACAGTCAGCCAAGCTGGGAAGGTCGGGGAGAACCACAGCTCCAGAGATCCACTCGGCTATAAGAGGGAGGCGTTCTGCTTCTAGTGTTGGGTAAAATGATGAAACCAGAGTCTTTATCCATCTTCCCATTTATCTTCAAGATCTAAACATTTATGTCAGAGTGACAACAGTCAAGGAAACATTAGAAAAGACTTTAATTAGAAGATTTACACATAAAAAACAAATAGAAAACTGGTAAATGATCCGGGTGCCAGCAGCTCGTCTCATGCTGCCACCCGTCTCTGAGAGGCGAGTCGGTGTTCGGTCGTCTGCTGCACCACGTTGTGATACTCGTCCAGTTTGTCTCGAACTTTGACGTGAAGCTGGGGGGGAAAAAAAGAAGAATATTTCCTGAGTTAAACTCGAGCAGGAAAGTGGGTGAACAAAAAGCTGGGATGCAAATGTAACCCAGGTTAAAATAGCCTTCATTCGAATTAACTAATTACTATTTCATAATAAATAATTATAAAATGCGTAAATAGGAAAGAATAAACAGGGCAAAATAGTTTCAAATAAATAATAATAAAAGAATAAAATAAAAGTTACAGACAGTGTGATTTATATTCATGTATTTTATTTTGTTTGATTTGAAACTGTGAAGTTTATTTATTTTGTCAGCAGTTTGAACGGTCAAGTGTGAGAAAAAAGTATCTTATTCTGAAGGGTCACATGGCTGTGTAGTCAAGGTGACTAGCCCCATCCCTGCGCTAGGGGAAGGGAGCGAGACAGACCGAGAGAGAGAGAGACAGACCGAGAGAGAGAGAGAGACAGACCGAGAGAGAGAGAGAGACAGACCGAGAGAGAGACAGACCGAGAGAGAGAGAGAGCGAAGGAGTGAAGAGTCGTGCCAAGCTAAGGGAGATCAAAGCGAACCGCCGATTAGCAAGGCTACAAAAAGCTGGAAACTTTTTCCTCATTTTTGGAGGAGGAGTTTTAATTTAAGAGAGTTGTCTGTTGGACTTGGCCTTTTTATGAAGTCCTACTGAAGCCGGACCGGGAATTCCGAGCAAAATTGCCGAATTGGACTACGATGGCGAGCCGTTGACCCAGGAACCCAGAAAAGCGGATCTAGAGAACCAGGATCAACCCTTCAAAATCACCACAAGGAAAGACTGATTGAAGCACAAGTTGTTCAGTAATTTACTGGATTATTATTATTGTGTTTTATTTTTTCCTTTTGAATTGTATTCACGCACATTATTGGTGTGGATTGTACATTTTTTTGTTGGGTAAAATTAGAAACCAGAATTAGTTAAAATAGGAGATTAAAACTATATTTATATATCATAATCTCTTAAAATGAACTAAACACCTAAAATAGATTTTAAAAGAATAAAATTAATTAGATTAACCTCTTTAGTTCAAACTAAATTAGAACTATAATTTAGGTTAAATAAACAACATCCTTTAAAACCAAACATTAGGTTTAAAAGTTCCAACAGGGATTATTCTGGAAGAACAGGAAATTATTTTGAATTGATTTTATGTCATTGTTTGTCAATTGTCTGTATTTATATTGTCTATTGTTCTTTTTTTTTTCTTTTCCAACTAATAATAAGCCGGCAGTTAAACTTACTTTCCCTTGTCTGTGGTCATTTATATATTTGCTCAATTTCCACTCCAGCAGCCGAACCTAGCACTGGTCCTATTATTGTTGTTTTAACTGTTAACACGTCGTGAGTGTTACACAAACAGGAAGTGACTCACGTTGCTGTGCGTTTGTGTCTCGCTCAAGGCGTGCAGAAGCTGATCGATGGCGGTGTACGGTAGCCAGGCGGGCGGAGACGTGGCTGACAGCGGCCTCTGGAGGAAAAAAAAAAAAAAACACAAACAAAAAACAGGAACAATAAGAAACATTAAATTACTCTACCAGAACCCTGACAGCCAGGGCTGAGAGAACCCGTACCTCAATCCCAAAGTACTGATGTCCACGGCCGAGGACGGCGTCCACGTACTCCAGCACGAGCTCCGCAGCTGATTCCAAGAGGTCAAAGTTCAGCAGGAGACGCAGCAATGAGGGAGCATCCACACACTAAAAAGTATAAACAGGTTATGCACAGATTAACAAATACACAAATTAAAGAACAGGTAAATATGCACACGTTTCAATTGGGCTGTCATGTCGCACTGTTCATTCAGAACATCTCAAGAATCAATAAACCGATGAACCGAAAATTGTTGAGGTCAAATAACAGCTCAGCTGTTGCCAAGTGTAACTCCGCCCCCCCCTCACCTTGTAGGACTGTAGTAGCCAATCAGGCAGCGGCACACCGTGCGACAGCAACTTGTGGATGACGTGGCGGTGATGATGCCCGTTGGTGGAGGGATACCTGTCCAGGTAGGAGGCCAGCAGCCGCCAGGCCTCGTCTGTGGCACTGAGGAAGAGTCTCAGTGGTTACAGATAAGAGTCTGCAGTTCTGCTGCTCATTGATCAATTGATTGATCAGCCTGATTATCACAGAGCTGGGCAACAAATCAATAATATATGCTACGACAGACTTGTGACCAATATCAAAAGACATGATATGTCTGAAACACATGTGGTGACATGTTTTTCAGTCATATCATCCAGTCCTAGATCATTAGCGACAACACACCTGGACTCCTTAGTGTTAACGACAGAGAGCTGGTTAGCAGCCAACCAGCTCCAAGCTTCACTCTGAGGCTCCTCCCCCCCAGACTGCAGCTGGATGCATCTGGACAGGTAAACAACAAGGCGGGTAATCAGACACGGAGAGAGGAGCAGGCGGAGGGAGCAGGTTTTCCTGTGAACCCACTTGAAGGTCAGGGCGTCGAAGATGGGACTCAGATCCAGTTTGAAGATGCGACTGAGAGACAGAGCAGAGTCGAAGAGTCCAGTTTGGACCAGGAGCAGAACCAGCTCGGGTGCAGACGCGCTGCCTGGATCAGAGAGTGACAACCATCAGTCGGTCAATCAACAGTTCAGGATAAATTGATTACTTCATCAATTTAGTCTCAGATCATCGCCGCATACCTGCGATGGCTGCCGACGGCGGGTGGTGCTGAGCCAACGTGAGGCGAGCGCGGGACAGGAAGTACTCCTTCTCCAGGTCATGGAGCTCCAGGATGTCTATCTGTC